ATTAAAATTGTGTTGCTCAGAATGCAGTTTACTATGGCTGGAGAAATGGAAGCATGGTAGACCATTGTCAGGATGTTAGACAACAATTGTAGAAAATAAATATAATTTACGTAAATTTTCACAACTATAACCTCCTTCTATCCATCATTGTTAAAGGCAAAATGCCTTATTTCCCTGATGGAGGCACATCTACAGAAATTTCAACCATATATTGGTTGTATATTGCCAACCAACAAAATTATAGCTTGTAAATGAAGAAATTGTAAAGTAGCTGTGAATCTGTGACAGGAAAGTTAGTATATCTGTATGTTCTAGAAAGTAGTGGAACACTTTCTCTCTTGCCTACAGTTATGAAGTGGATCGGTTAATGTAACCGATCAGTTGTTTGTGTGTGTGTATTTCTGGTTTGTTTCTTTTCCGAGCTTGTTACTTTGCTTCTTGGTCTGTTTCGATTATTCCATCCTTGATCTCTGCTTTGCTAATGAAGTTGTGTAGAAAAAGCCTTCCAACAAAATTGTAGCTTGTAAATGAAGAAATTGTAAAGTAGCTGTGAATCTGTGACAGGAAAGGTAGTATATCCATATGTTCTAGAAAGTAGTGGAACACTTTCTCTCTTGCCTGCAGTTATGAAGTGGATTGGTTAATGTAACCGATCAGTTGTTTGTGTGTGTGTGTGTATTTCTGGTTTGTTTCTTTTCCCAGCTTGTTACTTTGCTTCTTGGTCTGTTTCGATTGTTCCATCCTTGATCTCTACATATGTTTGAGCCATATTTATATCTTCTCTTTTGCTGTCAAAAGGTTGGCTCTAACATCAACTTTTGTGTATTAGTACATAAATAGATTAATTAACTTGACTATTTGTTTGTTATAATCTCAAAATCATGCTTACGTACGATAACGAAGGATTCTCCTGTTTGCTCTGTTTGAAACGTTGCTACTATACATATAGTGCCCTACATCCCTGGAAACTGAGTAATGCATTCTTATATGATTATGATGCACGCAAAAAAAACCTAGGATATATATCATATCTTGCTTATTTTGCAGCCTCTGAAGTGGGAGCTCAAGCAAAAACCAGGAATTAGTCCTCCACGTGGAGGGTTTAAATCGGATGACCCCAACCAACAAATAGTTGCTGAGGACATATTTGATGAGTATGGAGGTATTTAGTTTTCAATTCCAGAATATGCATGATGATTTCTTTCTTGTATCTTTGTATTGCATGTGAGGTAACTACCACCAACCTCAATCATTTTTCAGGCTTCCTCAGTGGGGATGTCATCCCTGAGCTACTGACCAACTTCTCAAGCCAACCCAGGGACAAGTCCAAAAAGAAGACCAAGCACAAAAAAAAGCAGTCATCACCATTGAGTGGGGAAGATGGGTTGTCATCTTCTTATGAGGATGATAAGAGGTCAAAGAAGAAAATATGCAAGGTAAATAAAAAGAAGCATGGTCATTCTGAATTGAGTCCAACAGAGATTTTGGAATTTGATAGACATAAAGTAAAGAGTAGAGACAAGCATTCTTATTCATTTGAGAATTCAAATAATGAAAAACATCAGAGAAGTACAAAGAAAAGACAGAAGCATTCTCATTCATATGAAGATTCCGAGATATGTAGGCATTACAAAAGGGACAACAGCAGTGACAGGTGTACTAATTCATCTGAAGATTCTGAACCTGACAAGCACCGTAGAGATGTCCAGCGCAGACGCAAGCATTCTTTTACAGTTGAGGATTCGTATCATGAAAAACATCATAGAAGTAGAAAGGTCAGACAGAAGCATTCTCATTCATATGAAGATTCCAAAATTGATAGGCATTGCAGAAGGGAAAAGAGCAGAGAGAGCCTGAATAATTCATCTGAAGATTCTGAGCCTGATAGGCACCTTAGAAGTATCAAGAGCAGACGCCGGCATTCTTATTCATCTGAAGATTCTGGCACGAACAGGCAAAACAGAAATAAAAAGAGCAGGGATAGGCACTCCTACTCGTATGTTAAAACCGAAAATGAGAAACATCACAGAAGTAGAAACAGCAGGCACAAACACTCTTGTATCTGAAGATTCGGTTCTGAGGATGGTAGAAAGGGGGATGGCCCAAGTGGGCACCCAATTGTAGTCAACGTCGCCACTATCAAGTTATCAACCTCACTGTGTATCAGAATTAGATTTTAAATACCTTTACAAAGAACTGGCTTAGCAAGTGTTGTGGTGGAAATGAGCTCTCTACTAATTGTAATGATGAGAGGGAGCCGAGTCAACTGACACGACCGATTATCTGTCTCGTGTTCTTGTTGTGGCTTAGCAAGTGTGTGTGTGTTGTTTTTTTTTGGTATTCGAAATTAGAAAAAACATGTATGTAATCAGGCAGCTGTTTTTCTTCTGTATGTTATTGACTCCCCAGAAAGAAACCAAAAAAAACAAAATGATTAAATTAAAGAGTTTTTTTTTTTAATGAGAAAAAAGAATATTAATGCGTCCAATTCCAGCAGCAGCAGCAGCCCGGTCCGGCCAAATTAATTGAAATAACAAAAAAGAGAAAACAAACCCAAATTACAATACAACGAAGATCGATTCTGAGGCGGTAGAAAGGAAAATAAAAGGGGCGTGGTGCCAGAGAGAAAGAATACTCCCATCCCATCGCATCGCATCGAGCAATCGGGTTTGATAGATGGCGGGTGCTAGGGCTGCTAGGGCAAGTGGATCAGTAATGGCGGCGGCTGCGGCTGCCGCTATGCCGGAGTCGAAAGTAATTGCGGCGAAAGTGAAGACAAAGACTTGTTGTTCAGAGCTGTGCAAGTTCCTTGGCATCCCTGAACGCACTCGCTCTCCCACCGCACTCTTAATTTCCAGGTTCATTAGTCTCTACAACCATCAGGTATATTAATTAATTTAATTTATGCTCTCAAATTCTCTATCATTATTCATTATTCATTTTCATTTGACAGACAGACAGACCTACTACGATTTATTTGATTTGATTGATGCAAGCAATGCCCCCATTTCATTTCATTTCACTTGCATTGCAATTTGCATTTCACCGCTAGTAATAGTCTAAATCTATGGTTGTTGTTGTTGTTGTTGTTGTTGTTGGATAATCAAATCATCAATCAACGCCTCAGATCATTGATTCATATTGAATTGTTAGCTATTCCATGTTTGCAGAGTCCCGGTATCAAGGACCGTACTTGGGAGGAGAACTTGAAGACCTTGTTGCATGGGAAAAACAGAGTTGGGCTCTCTGAAATCACCAGATTGCTCTCCCCAGAATTCACCTATTCTCGTATCAAAAGCACCAACGCACCCACTGCCGCACCCACTGCCATCGCTGACCAGAAACAGCACGATCTCAATAAATCCAAGAAAACCAAAGGGAAGACCTTGAAGAACAAGTAGCAAAAACTGCCTTCAATTTACATTTTCTGTTTCAAATTTAATCTTTGAGAACCCTTAACTGTTCTATTTCGATTACCATCTGTTTAAGGCATATTAGAATTAGTTTTGAGTCATTGGATTGTCTTCCAATGAAATAAAGTGATTAAAATTTGAATTTCGAAGAAGAAGAGGAGGGGAAATGAGAGAGAGACACCCAACTTTTAATGAAGGATTTCGTGGATCTCCACTGAATGACCAACTATACTATAGGGTGTGTATTTTTGGGTTGGTTCATCTAAGGGTATGTGTGTGGAGATGAGTAAATAATACATGCCAGTTGTTTGATGTCAACTTATATTATTTAATTACCTGACTATGTTAAATGGATTGTGAAATATGCTTTATTAATACATGTCATTTGGTACACACCATGTTTTAGATAATACACGTTTAATTACAAAATTAGGGAAGCTTTGAACTTCAACCTGTCTAAGTTCGAATGGAAAATACTTCCTAGCAGAAAAATTAGCATAACTAAAAATTTGGTATTTTTATTTTGGTTCAGAATTCCGTAGTTTCAATTTTCTTATTTTGTTAACGTGCATCAGTTCTAGACTTGACAAACGTTACATGTTGTATCCAACGCAATTGCTTTCTTAATGGGTGATTGCATGATGCTTTTCAATTTAGGGATCATTAAGTGTTTTACGTTGAAATATGATAAAAGAGGCCCATTTGATTCACGGAAAATCATTCCTCATATATCTTCTATATATATAAAGCAAAAGGTAGAGAATGGTGAAACATTCAAAATACCAAAAAATGCCCTTGGTTAATGCAAACATTAAGAATTGAAATTATTAATTAAGTGAGGATAATATGGTAAATTTACACTTTTTCATAATAAAAAATTTAAAAATTAAAAGAAAAATAAGATAATGGATCCTCTTTTTATGGAACACAACTACCCATTATCTGTTTTAATTCTAAAATAAATTTAATTTTTTCTTTTAAAAAACCTCTCGCGGGCGTGGAAGCGCATGCAGAGAGGCTAGTATTTTCTTAAGAGAAAGGAAATTGAAAATTCATTTTTCATGTTTGGTAAGCTAGTAAAATAACTAGGAAATAGACTGACGGGGGAGCCACAAAGAGTTCGGACAGGCCCAAGCCCCTTCTCATTATATTATTTTTTGGGTAAATGAAAAGAAATATAAGTATAGACTATAGAGGTTTCAAAGAGTTCTAGTTAGATTAGAGCTTAGAATACAATCCTCCTATTACTAGATAGAACATCAGATGAAAAAAAAAGAAAAAGAAATGAATCCAAAAATAGAAATCCTGCACTTTATGTTCTATTACCAGATTGTTTCATTTTTCTACATTTCGATAATTTTTTTCAAATAGTCTAAAGTGCCCTTTCTAACATGTTATCATTTTATTTTTTTCTCATATTTAATTTGTGCGGGAATTTGAAACAATTTTTAATTTTTTTTTTGTAATTATACCCGTAAATTAGAAATATACAATAAAAAATATATAATTAATGTTTGTTTTGATCCCCATTTTTAATTGTTAATATGGACAAATTTGTTATTGTGACTAGGAAAAATGAAACTCAAATGATTGGAGGATTTCATTTTAGCCTCTATTTTCTATGACAAAAAAATCTTTTCCTATGCCATGACTTACCAAAGATGAAAAATCAAATAATTTTCCATTTTCTAAAAACCTCTGTTCCTCCTCCCTTTACCCTCCTAACTCATCCGACGCTCCTTGTCTCAGCAATCGAAAACGTTGGTAATCTGAATTTTGAAGCTTTGGTGGGTAATTTTTCTTAAGGAAGTTGGTTTAATTCCACGAACAGGAGCAGAGGCCTGTGAAGATATTTGATGATGCGTAGAGAATCAGACAGAGCCCACTTGTGGTGACCACAAATTCTCCGTTAGAATTAGCCAGTGCTTGGTCCTGCAGTCTACGGCCACCGACATGACTACATCAGAGGATGAGGACGAGATTTTGGCTCATTTCCTTGAATCGGAGGTGCTCTCCGAGGTTTCAGACCAGGTTTATCTTATTCGTTATTCTTCTCATCTTCGATTCTGTTTCTGTTTGATCTATTTTTGTGCCTAAACAGTTCTCTTAATATATCGCATTCATCCATTTCAAAACTTTATCTTTCCTATGGCTTTTGAAGGCGTTCAACTTGCGGAATTAGGGTTTGTTTTTCTTGAATTTGCTCTTTGGTTGTTTGTTTTATAATCATATTTTATAGATAGCGGAGGAGAAGAATATAGTACATTGGGTAGGACTAAATAAATGATGTTGTTGGGTTTTTGATTGCATGGTAGGAGGAGGAGGATAAAATGAAAAATGAGTCCAAAGCAAAGAGAATGCGAGTAGCAGAGGATAAGACTGAGGAAGACCCTAAATTTCATAAAAACCCAGAAGACAGAGGAGCCTCGTCCTCATCTTCTTCAAGGATTGAGACTGGCATTTTCTGCAAAATCCCTCCTGAACTCTTCCCTCACATCCTCAAGTTCCTCTCTTCTGAGGATCTTATTGCTTGCTCTCTCGTCTGTAGATTTCTGAATTACGCTGCATCGGATGAATCCTTATGGCGCCGCTTGTAAGTAACTCTTTTATGTCTTTGTATAATTATTTATTGATTTTTCAATCTTTCTGCCACCAAAACTTCTTGCCAAAAGTTCTCTATGAAATCATTCAATCAATCTATCTATCAAAATAGGATAAATGGCTAATCTGTAAAATCTTTTGGCTCCACCTGTTTGCATTTTTAAGAGCTTTACATAATTGTTATTTAACAAAATCCTTCTTAGTATAGTTATGTTGATTCTTTAATGACTTATTTACTTTATTTTCATGAGAGTAGTGTGCTTGTACGACTATTTGCAGGTATTGTATGCGATGGGGTCTTTTACCTCCTACTAGAAAGTTACGTGAATGTCCTTGGAAAAAACTTTATATTCAGGTACTTTATCTTTTTCATTCATCATTTTGAAGTGTTGTGGTAGTTGCTGAAATCATCATGGGCATTTACAATAGAACCTACTTTCAACTCGAAATACAGAATTTTCCATATTGTGTGAGTTTACATGAAACCTGAAGCTGCTTGCAGCAAGCAACCTAGATAGATGATATTAACCTATAAGAAATTCTCTCTTCTTTGCAGCGTGATGAGGAGGACATGGTAGAACTTGTTAGGAATTGCTCACTTGAGTTCAAGGAATACTATATACAAATGCAAGCTGCCAAAAGAAGCCAAGCACCTCTTCCTTCACAGGTTTGGGGCTTCCTTTGTCTTGAAATATTTCTCTATATGTTTATGGTGATCTTTTTGTGTGAGATTATGAGAAGAGCCTGCTGTTTTGCTCATTACTCCATGTAGTATACTTCTATGCTTCTTGAAACCTTATGCATAATTGTCTTCTTGTGTTAACTTGAGATCCTTCGCGTGAGTAGTCATTGGGTCTTAAAACCTTGTGCATAATGCTTTTCTCTTGGGTTAACTTTGAGATCCTTCATGTGAGACTTACTTTGTCAGTAGTTTTCTAGTGCTGAAAATCTTTCATTCAGCCTTTTATTAACTTATCCTTTAGTTGCTTGTTTGTGTTTTCTACTTATCTCTCTCTCTTTCTGTTTATATACAATAGTAATACTTCTGCACTATATATACGATAGGTTCTCAAAACAGTATTATGTGCAGCAATGTGAATTTTAATGCTCTGGATGTGCTTAGTATGAGATCCCTGCTAACAATTTGGTTGTTTGTTGTTTGCCTGTGAAGGTGAATGACGATGGGATAATTCTTGACAGGACAGTAGCTGATCAAGTGTCTATGTGGAAAAGTAGTAAAGGCCTGACTGATAAGGTTGTAGCTGATCATGCTTGTTCTGGTGAAATCTGTACTTACTACCAAATTGGAGATGTATTTGTTTGTGAGAAGACTGGGCAGGTTCATGGTTTGTATCAATAATCTTCATGAACTTTGTGTATTCATGCATGTATCTAGTATTTTTATGCAGTACTCAGGTCTCATCCAATTATTTGTTATGATTTTTTCTTCAGTATGTGATGATAACTGCAGAGAAGTTGTTATGGATCCAACCAATGAGCTTTGGGTCTGTACAATATCTGGGCACTGTTTTGATAGGCTACTATCACCAGCAGAAATGGAGCCAGATTCTGTGAGTGAAAATCTCCTCTACCTTGCAATTTTTAGTCATGATATTACAATTTTTCAAATTGCCACTCATTTTTCCTCATGAGATATTTTGAGGTTTATAGAAATAGATAAGAATGTATTTTATTATTATGGGAAGAAATTCTAGTCTGCATATACAGATGCTAATGAATCCTCATGCAATTCTGTTTCTATTATTTTATATATTATGCTTGCCATTGTTCTATAGTTTGATGTGACTGGCATCTTGTCAATCAAAATAGATGCAAATATTTTGTGTTTTGAGTTCAGACTTCCTTGTCAGAACCTGCGAGATGCTCAGTGAAAGAATAGCCCATACTTGGTTGAAAACCACTTATATTCATGCAATAGGTGATCTTGGCGATATCATGCCTAGGTGATTTTGGCTATATGTGGTTGACAATCATCATGCCTTTGGCTGTATCATTTTCTCATTTCTTGTAATATTGTCAAACGTCACTAGGTGATTTTGTTAGTTGTTACCCATGTAGGAAAGTGTTTGTCTCATTTGCTTTATCATTTCATTCAAATAAAATTCAGGAACTGCAACAAGGGGGTGCGACAGATGAGGCAGAACCATTCATGGGATCTGGTCGCTTTGGTAATTAAGTTGCCTTTTTTGTTTTTTGAGAAGTGTAATGTTAGTTATCAAAGGGTTTTTCTTCTTTTTGTGTACACACCTTATTTTGCTGTTTTTGACGTGGCAGCAAGAGCTTATCTGTTGGGATACAATTGTGCTGATGAAAAAGAGCTAGAGGATGCTTTGAGGTTTTGTTGAAGAAATATAAGGTCCCATCCATCTAGGTGGATGCCTTTTATGCGGCATATGCATAAGTTGCAGCAAATCTTATTCAGTGTAGTAGTGCTATTGTATTGTCCTGGGCCTCGCTGGTGTAACTTGAATCAGAATACATATGACGTGTTCCTATGCTTTTTTTTCTTTGTATTCATATTCCCATGGACACCCAACCCAAGAATTATCTATGACTATGGGCATCATCCAATTCCTTTTAAAAATGAAAATATAAGAGGATGGATGTATGAATCTGATGCGCCGCTGATCAATCTACTTACCCGCCATGCCAACTTCCCCCTCTCTTTCTTTCCTTCTCCTTTCCTCTCTATCATAAACCGGGTGAGAAAAAAGATTATTTACCAAAATGGAAAAACAGAGAAAAAGGGTAGAGGAAATTATTAAACCCTAAACCTAAGAGAAAACACAAAAATATTAAACCCAATCACCAACTTTTTCTTTGTGCTAGCAGCTAGTCTCTTTTACTTTTTCCAAACCCTAATTCTCAGAGGAACAAAGAAGAAAATAGAAAAGGAAAGTCGACGAGTAGACTCCAACTTTACTAAGCATGTTGATTTCTGGTGAGAGGTGCATTTGGCCCAAGAATCAAATAAAGAAAAGCATAATCAGCAAATAAACGAGAACGCATTTTACACAAGTTCAAGGAATTTGTTCAGTCTTGCTTATCAATTGCATAAGTGCATTTGCCTTCCTTTGAGCTCTATTGGTTCCACTCCCTGTGATCTCAACCAAATGCTCATACACTCCAAACTGAAGTGCGGCCAGTAAGAAGGATGAATTGTTTGACGCCAACTCCAGAAGAACTGATGTTGCACATTCCTTGTTCTTGGGAGTTCCTTCTCGGATAAATTCAACAAGAGTCTCAATGAATGAGAGCTGTCCAATCTCTTGCCGTCCATCTGGATGTGATGCAAGAAGTAAGAAGATGGAGAGGGCTTCATCGACCATGCCCAAGTTTCTGTCCTTGAGTATCTGGAGTAGAGGTGGTACAATGCCAGCATTAATGGCCCTCGACCTATTTGATTGGTTCAAAGATAAGTTGAACAGTGCTGTGGCAGCATCTTTTTTACCTCTAATCGTCCCATTCTGCATTAAATCGACTAACGGCGGAATGCCATCTGATAACCCCACAGCTACTTTGTTCTCATCCAGCATTGATAAGCTAAATAAAGCTGCTGCAGAATTCTCTCTAGCTTCTGTGCTTCCATTCTGCAAGACTTCTATAATAGCTGGAATCGCTTCTTCTCTGGTTATCAGTCTCTTGTTTGTTTCGTCAATCGATAAATTCAAAAGAGCCGTCACTGCATGCTGTTGAATTTTAGAATCTGGATAGGAAAGAAGTTGCACCAGTGGTGGGATTCCTCCACTTTTGGCAATCAAAATTCTGTTCTCAGGATTCTCTTTTGAGATTAAACGAATCTTCATCACAGCCTTCCTCTGCACTTCTAATTGATTGGAAGATAGCCGTTCAACCAATGATGAGATCTCCTCTTTGTGTTCGGTGGAGGAACTTTCCTGGCCTGCGGACGTTTCTTTCTTTGGGAGCTGGAAATTGTTCTTCTCACACCACTGCATGATTAGATTTTTGAGAGCATAATTTGGTGCAAGTGACAAGTGAGCCAGAGTTTCCCTGGTCTTAGGACATGTTCTATGATTGGTGTCAAACCACTTTTGTATGCTTTCTCTGTCATATGTCTTCAGTAAATAACCAAACCAGGAAAAAGAAAGAAAAACAAAAAGAGTAATTAGTTTCCGTTTCGTTATGCTCACACACATAAGTTAGTAGAAGGAAGAAGAGCCCAAAAATCTCTGCTATATATACATATATTTTTTTTTAAGACTTGACCATAGTATCACAAAATGAACTCAACTCAAAACGATGGTTTCTAATCCCTGTGATGCGAAATACTTTATTAATTTACCACATATTTCATGTCTGGCTAGTGTTAAAAGAGTTTGATCCAATTTGCACATGTAAACTCACCTGTCCACTTGCAACAATAACAGGATCCGTCATTATTTCTAGCGTGATTGGGCAGAGGAACTCGTGAGGGATCATCAAAGATGGGCACTTCTCAAGCATTTTAGGCATAACAGGGTCGTCAATAACATTGGTTGCTTCCATTCCAGCGATTTGTCTGAATCTGTTAAAAAGATCAATGATTTGCTGAGTAGTCTCTCCACTTGGCCCTCCTCTTTCTTTAACAAGGTTCCGTATAGCTATTGCTTCTCTGTTAAGGTCCTCAATTTTATGGAGGTCTAGCTTTTGCGCCAACCTCTCTATAATGGCACTGTCAGCATTTCTATCTTCTTTTTTGGACAAAACCACCATAATATCCATTGCAAGTTCTATGTCCTGTGTATCTGTTCGCTTCCTTGCTCGTCTAAGTTGCATGATCATGAGTTCAACCTGAACCAAAGCAAAAACTTATATCAGAAAGAAACTACAATTCCATTCAGAAATTACCAAGCTCCTAATGGCCCCAAAACAGAAGGAGAGCAAAAGAGAAGAAAAGTGAGAAAGAAGCATTTAAGAACAAGTTTTTGATACGCAAAATCTCTATTAAACGCGTGCAGTGAAGAAATAATAGTTTGAATTGAATAAGATCTATCTTTATGTATTTAAGTGCTAGCAGGGGATTTATGCTTCTTAATTTGTGATTTCAAATTTAAGCCAACAAGACCATTGGAATATTCTTACATGCCGGAGCAAGATCTTACCACTCTAGTCTAGATGCACAATGAAACAACACATGGAAGCATAAGCATGAGCTAGCCAGAAAAAAGAAGAAGGACATATATACCTGTTCCTTAACTTCATCTGAGATGCAAAGTTCATCAGGCAAACCATCTAGAGCCTGACTGAGTTTTTCATGAACTGCATGAAATCTAACCATGATTCCTTCACTTTCAAGTGCCTAAATTACCAGAACAAAGACAAAACAAATAAGAGTCCTACAATCCAATTCACATTTCAGAAAGAAATAACTTAATTTGAAAAATTAACTTTCATTTTCAAAAAGAAAACCCTAACCAGATAAATTTTGCTCCCCTCATTACAAGTCTTCAACAATTTCTTGGCCATAAGAAGCACCTTCTTCAAATTAGCCAACCAAGCAACCCCCCTTTCCGGAATTGGCCCATCCAGCTCTCTCGTCTCTTCGAAAAGCGGCAACAAGAGCTTCATACGCCGCACCAGGTTATAGCATTCTTTCCTCTGCGTCCTTCGGTAATCCCCGAATTGAGCAACCAATTCTATCACACCCTCGGCAGTTTCCTCTCCTCCTCCTCCACCTCCGCCTCCACCTCCGCAACCTCCACCTTCACCTTCGTCTCTCATCTCTCCATCCATCACCATGGGCCTCCACCTTTATACATATACGTATATAACCGAAAACAAAAACACACACACACACACACGCAAAAGAAAAACGAAAAGCCTAGTTTCTAATTATATTCGTTGGTTTCATGACGAGTAAATTAACTAGCTAGGGTTTATGCAAGTTTCATTCGCGGCCTGAATAGGGGGCCAGGTCGAGGGAAAAAGAAATGTGAAGGTAACGAAACCCTAACCTTAATTTCCATGGATTCTTTCTAGGTGGTGTGTGTGTTCTTGGTGCCTGTCAGAAGCTTTTCGCGGGCTTTTCGGGTCTGTCGCCCTTCAAATTGGAAATACGTGCAGCCTAAAATAGACTGGCATTTGAAAGTTAGTTAATTTCTAACTTACTTTTGGGCTTTCCGGTAAATTGCAATTGCCTAATCTCAACACACATAGCAACAGCGTGCACCGATATTATATCTCAACACACAGAAAAAGGATACTTAGTAATATTATATAAAACCATATCCTCTTAGCAGATGTTGGTTTAAATCAGTTAGCTAGGATAATATGTCCCCTCCTTTACATTCATATTTGATTTCACATTCTTATAAATAAATTAGTTTGGAACAATTTAGAATGGTTGCTGATTTTCCAATTCTCTTTTTATCTACTTACACTCAATTTTATTTATAAAAAAAAAAATAATACTTTTAACTATAACCTATAAAGGAGTATAAGTGAATGAAAGACGACTGAGAATATACAATTTCCAATAAAATGAGTATAAGTGGACAAAAGAAGAGTGGAAAAATCAGATCCCTTTAGAATACTGATTAGGAAAATTTTGACACTCCTCTTAGAAATTCTCCTTACCCCTCTAAATTTTTGTCTCTCTCAAACAGATACAAATAATACCAATGATTCACTCTCCCATACATTTAAATATGAATAAGTTTTGCAAATGACCCACTAGTGTAGTGGTTTGGAGCAATTGCCCTCTAGACAAAGTCCTAAGTTCGAGTCTTAGCATATGTGTAGTGTGCGTGAATTTAGTATATTATCGTTATTTTCAATAATAAAAAAATCCTGAAAAACACATGAATAATTATTATCTTTTTTGACAAGATGATAAGTTCAGACTTATCAAACAAGAGAAATGAAATAATAGTCATTTTTTTTCCGTGAACAAAACGCCTCCTCAAAGTGCTGTCCCCCTACCTTCCACTGGGGCACTACCAAGTGTTGGCCACTAAAAATAAAAGAGGAATACGAGTAACGAGGATGTTTTTTTTGTCACCAGTAACAGTAATTGGTTAAAAACAGAAAGAAGAAAGTAAAGAAGAGGAAATACTATGTCAGAGATCAAAGCCGGACAAAATCTTGACCATGCTCACTCACACACATGCACTCTATTTGATTTTGATTGATTCGGGATTTCGGATCAAATTGAAATGCAGGCACAACTGCCACGTTACCGTTAGTACGTTTTCCTCTACCGTTGTCAATAAGGGAATTAATTATCTTGATTTTAATTTAACTATCAAATTCGTCGTTTAAATTGCCTTTCCCATTTGTTTAAAGGTCTCTGTGTTCTTGAATGGAAGGAGTCAGTCAGGTCAAGTCCCATACGCCGACAAATAAGGAACCCATCCCATGAATGATGATTGTTCAACTTCAACCAGGTGAAACCAAAAAATTCCCACCACGAAATTTTCCATTTGTCAATAAATTTCTGAGGTGGGTTCTTCCCTATTCTTCTATGTCTGAAACTGATTTTCTTGTTGTTATTATACATAGACATAGGCATGGCCTGGCCTTCATTTGTCGTTTCTGGGGATTATTATTTTTTTTGGGGGGGCACAGCGATTTCTGATTGATCTTTGTCATTGTTAGTGGGTTCGGATATTTGTGGCAAGTTGAGGAGGGTATTGATCTTCTAGCAGTTTCCTGCTTACTTTTACAACTGTAATAGCTTTCTATTTACCCATAAAATCTTAGAGTTACAACAATTACGTTAGAATTTGAGCATAAGGTTCATCCTCACGTGATTTTGATTGATTGAAATTGAAGTTGATGTCCGATTATAAGAGCCAGTCATATTTTAAAATCTAAGATGTTGTTTATGTTGTTGCCTCAATCAGAATCTGTCCTTATTTTCCAGATAGTCAGGGTGGTGTCTAAGGGTGCACTGCAAGGTGCTGCCCATCTCTGGGAGATTGAATGATATTCAGTAGGAAGAGATGATGGATAAGAAAGAGAAAAAGTTCCTTACTGTGGCGCCGTTTGAGTGTGCTTGGCGAAAGGATTTGAAGTTCCGGGAAGCCGGGCGGGGTTGCGTGGCTTTTGAAGCTTCTGCTCACAATGATGTAACGCTGGTGTTCCGGGAGAATGTGGGAAGCCAGCACTATCACTACAAAAGAGATAATAGTCCTCACTATACTGTTATTCTGGGTAGTCATAGGAATAGGCGGTTGAAAATCGAGGTAGATGGGAATACTGTGGTTGATGTGGAAGGTGTTGGACTTTGTTGTTCTTCTGCGTTTCAGAGCTACTGGATCAGTATCTGTGATGGTTTGATCAGTATTGGTAAGGGAAGATACCCTTTTCAGAATCTAGTCTTTCAGTGGCTAGATTCAAATCCAAATTGTAGTGTTCGGTATGTTGGGCTTAGTAGCTGGGATAAACATGTTGGGTATAGGAATGTCAGTGTATTGCCATTAACTCACAACCATATATCCTTGTGGAAGCATGTGGACTGTAATGAGTACATTTGTGAGGAGGATGGTGAAGAGGAGTTGGAAGATGAACAAACGGTTTATGAGAAATGGGGGATTGAAAATTTTCTTGAAAGTTGGGAGTTATCTGATGTTCTCTTCATTGTTGGTTCAGAAGAAAGCTCTGTACCTGCTCACAAGACTATTTTGGTAGCATCTGGTAATTTTCCTTTGAGTTCATCAGAAGATGTTATCCAGCTAAAGGGGGTAACTTATCCGGTTCTCCATGCACTGCTTCAATATATTTACACAGGTCGAACACAGGTATAGCTTAAAAGTATGGGGAAATCAGAACTGCATATCTATTGAAATCTCAAAAGCATTGGATAATTTGTATGAATATGCAAAAGATTACGAATATATGTTATTTTCTCCTACAGATGCTCGGGAATCCTTGAAAAGTACATGTTTTACGGCAAGAACCCTGTGTTTGTTATTTTTTTGCATGACATTCCTCTCTCTCTCTCTCTCTCTCTCTTATTATATATATAAGAAAAAACTTCATGTGTGTTGTTTTTATGTGAAGTTCATCATCCTTACTATTTGATACAGACTATTATGCTAAATATGCTGTCCTAGATGACTCTTCGCAGTTCTAACTTTGTTTCAGAGGTGCCAATTCTAATAGGTCTTATGGAACTGTTTGATATAGATTCCAGAACCACAACTTGGTTCCTTAAGGGCTCTAGGCTTACAGTTTGAAGTGATTCCATTAGTGAAGCAATGCGAGGAAGCAATGGAACGATTGAAACTAAATAAAAAGTTGTTTGACTTTGGAAAAAGTGTGGAACTGTCATATCCATGCACTCGGCCACATTGTTGCACAGCTTTCCCCTTTGGAGTTCCTGTCGATATACTGAGGCTTAAACAATTGTATTTAACTAGCAGGTACAGTGACGTAAATATCCACATCGAGGGTCATGGCCTTATTGCCCAGTCACATAAAATTATTCTTAGTATATGGAGTCTCCCATTCGCAAAGGTGAGCCTATTCATTTTTATTCTGCTTCATATTTTTATTCTGTTTTGTGTACACCCTTGTGCTTCCCAGATCAACCACGTAACTGCATAATTTTCCTGGAGGGGAAATGCATCGTTTTATGAGCATGATGTTGGTCATAAATGTGCTCTTGGAGTGCACTCTTCTCTGTTCCTGCACATTTTGTTTTCTTAAGTCTCATGGATGACAATTCTAGAAAAATGTTTCATCATGCAGATGTTCACAAATGGAATGAGTGAAACAATTGCCTCTGAGGTCTTTTTAAGAGATATATCACCTGAAGCATTCAAGGGTTTGCTTGAGTTCATGTATAGTGGGGAACTCAACTTAGAAGCTACTATTGATTCTGGTGCCTTATTACTCCAACTTTTTCTGTTGGCTGATCAATATGGAGTCACTCTCCTTCATCAGGAATGCTGCAAAACACTTTTAGAATACCTCTCAGAGGTAGTTTGGTAATCTTTATCTTTCTACATAGTTTAACTCATCTATAGTAGTTCAAATCAGGCCTATGTTTTGTCAGTTTTACAGTATGGCACTTGCATGACTAGAATAAAAGACCAGAGAAGTGACCTGCGGTTTCGGACTTCTGAAAACAAAAGAAGAGATTCCTTTTATGATAATGAATTATAGAGATATTGATACCTCTCATGTGCACATTATATGCAGGGATGGAGTTCTAGTGGAAGGTCATACAGCAAGAGTTTTACTATTATGCACAAGTTTAATGGACGTGGAAGCAGACTGTTTTGGCAAATTAATTGGACTGTTACTTTTGATGCTAACTGTTGACGTTTGTTGCAGGACTCTGTATGTCCGATCCTTCAAGTTGTTTCATCAATTCCATCATGTAAACTTATTGAAGAAACTTGCGAGATGAACTTTTCAATGCACTTTGACTATTGTACAACTGCAAGCATTGACTTCGTTTTGTTAGATGAGACAACCTTTAGCAATATCGTTCAGGTAGGATGCCACTGTTCTTAAGCAGAGTTGTTAAATAAATTGAAGTTTGGTATGATAATGTAATATAATGGACCAAAGTAGTTGTCACTTCAGCTGCTTAAAAAGATTATATGAATATGGAGTTGGAGGAAACATTTAGAATTTGGTACCTTTTCATAATCTATTTTTGAGTATTTTCTTATAGTAGATTATGTTATTGCAGCATCCAGATTTGACTGTAACATTTGAAGAAAAAGTTCTCAATGCAATCCTAATGTGGGGTGTGAAAGCAAAGGAATTGTATGGGTGGGAGGTGGTAGATGAAATGATAATTTATTCCACTCCGGAACTTCTTTTTGGGGATAGGCTGCAGACAGTTCATGACCTTTTGTCCTTTGTTCGATTTCTGTTACTGCCCTTGGCCTTGCTTGAGAAGGTATGCGGACCTTGGATATAGAGATGTATCACTAGCCTACCAAAGACTTGAAATCTTTTGTCTGACTTCACCATTATTCAATAATAATCTTGCAGTTGGAGAAGAGCAACATTAGCAGAAATATTTCTACTTTTAATAATCTTGTGAGTTGAGCATTTCTTATGATTAGTTTTCGAAAAAAAAAAGAAGCTCTACGCCTGTGTGAAAATAATTATCATTCCTGAAGATTTTTTCTTTTTTAATGCCAATATCACAGGTCAAAGAGGCCATCAATTGTATCAAGCATGGATTGGCAGGGCCAGAAAATGAGCATAAGTGAGTGTTGAAGTATTACATTGTTCTTTCATGTTCAAACTTTTGATCTTTGCTTTAAGGAGGCCATCAAATGAAATTGTTTATTTGGTTGCTGAGAAGAGAAGAATGTACAGGAGAACCAGCCTTTTACTTCAATAATTTCTCATGGTTCATGGAAATTCTACATGCATGAAATAGTTTAAAGAGAAGATATTACATGGTAGAGGGCCATGCACCATTATTATTGAAATAAGACCTGCATTATGTCGATTTTGAAGAGATTTGGAGTCTATGTGGTCAAAGGTGTATGGGGTTCATGATCCAAGCTTGTACTTTTGGATTTTTAATAATTTGCATGCTCTTTAATCCTATTGATAATGTGCTTGAGAAGGATTCCTGACTAATGTGTGGATAGGTATTTAGTCAGTTAACGTGGTTTTACTTTGTAGCCTGAGAATCCAACACAGACGATCTAGTTATAAGGAGCTCCAGTACATATGTGATGGGGACAGCAATGGAGTTCTGTACTTTACAGGCACATCATATGGGAAACATCAGTGGGTTAATCCTGTTCTGGCCAAGGTCTAATTCTTTCATCTTTCTTCCCTTTTATGACCCTCCATAGGTTTAGTAGTTTTTAATTCAGCTGTCCATTCTTTATAAATTGCACGTTTCAGAGAATTACTATTACAGCCAGCAGTCCCCCTTCTAGGTTCACTGATCCCAAGGCTTTGGTCTCAAGAACTTACCAGGTATGGTAAATTGAAAGATTAAGGTACTGCGAATTGAAATAATGTAATAAGGGGTTGCTGGAGCTTCCTTGCATAGTAACTGAACGGTATACGTCCACATCAGGGAACATCCTTTGCTGGGCCACAGATCAAAGATGGACACAATTGCACCTGGTGGATGGTTGACATTAGTGCAGATCATCAGGTATTTCTGAATGTTCGCTCTGCGTCATTCATTAATAGATATCAGCGATGTGCTTTTTACATATAAACATCATCATTTTTTAAACATCGTAATCTAATAAAGTTGACAAATTGAAAATGTTTTACGGCCCCCTAATCATATTCTTTTGGACTACCTTCCTGTCTAGTACATAGGAGTAACTTTGTTTTGATTGGCTTTCTGATGCATGAAAATTGGCTGATACAGCTTATTTGCAACTACTACACCTTGAGGCAAGATGGGTCCAGGGCTTACATGAGATATTGGAAGTTCCAGGTAAATACCTTTTTTTCCACGGTTACATGAGATGAGAAATTGGATGGAAAAGACCTTCAAACATGAGATATTGGAGCCATTTTTACATTTTTTTTTTTATGCTGTTGGTTTTTGGGGTTTTATGAGTATTGCTGGATATGGAAGAAGAATGTATGAAGTGAGCCTTTGTTTATGTCTATGTTAGGGATCTCTGGATGGGAAGACATGGACAAATCTGAGAGTACACGAGAATGACCAAACAATATGCAAGCCTGGGCAGTTTGCATCATGGCCTGTTTCTGGACCGAACGCTCTTCTTCCTTACAGATTTTTTAGGGTTGTTCTGACGGGTCCTACAACAGATGCTTCCAACCCCTGGAATTTCTGCATTTGCCTTTTGGAACTATACGGATACTTCCACTGATACTTGTGCAAATTTGGTCAGTGGTCACCAGTCTATACCTTTTTTTTTTCACCGTCCAATTCATGTCCTGTATATCCACATGTATAGTAGTTAAACTGTATAAATAATAAATGAAGGGAACTTTGGGGCTTGCATCTTTCAATTGTTTGCTCATTGCGCCCCCAAAATAGCCCAAAAGTTGAGTAACAAAAGAGACATTTATACTTTCGATTCAATATAATAGATGTCATGATAATTTCGATTGAGCATGTTAATCTTCACAGGAATGGGTCGATTAAAAAAAACATAGCTATTACATTAACAATAGAAACTACATGAAAAACAGACACGCAAGCGTCAAAAGATTTGGCATCCAATTCATGCATACAATAACGGAACAGCCTGCCAAGATGCTCTCTGGTTTCTTCTCTTCTTTTACACCATTTTTTTAGGGTTTTGAAGGTACGCACGCAGTGGGCTGATTACCTCCGAACAGGTGGTACAACACCCCTACCAGCTGTTCCACGGCCAGCCGCTTGAGCCTGCACAACAATATATAATTAGCGAAGCCAATTCCATTTTCTTTTCTTTTCATAGAGTCGGTCAGGCGTGACAAGCAATATTTTCAGAGTTTTGTATATCCATGCCTCAAATATGATGGTAAAAGACCAAACTAAGGAACTCAATCTGCCTTGTCTCCACATTTCTCACACAGGAAAGTCCAAATGGAAGGCATCAGGCATGTCAATTTTTTAAACTAAAACGTTTGTCAATGCACAGATTCTATATCACTATGCTTTTAATATAACCTGTTTTTAAAAGGTTCTATTGACAAAATAGGAAATAGATAAAGACTCTGTAAAGAACAGCTTACTTTAGCCCGCATTGCAACAGCTCTACCTCTGCCAACTCCTAGTGAAGCACCCTTACCCTTCAAGATTAAAAATCGAAGGTTAATTAAACAAAATGTACACACTAGGGAGAATTCAATGATCATTAGAAATGGAATGTTACCTTGATTCTAGAATCCAGACGCTTGAACATTGGAGCATTCTTCAGCATGTCCGGTATGACCATAAACCTATCAAAATTTCACATCAATTTCGGAGGAACAGTCAATTTGGAGTGGTAAAGCAACATAACTCAAAACAAATTATGAATGGATGCTGTCAAACCAAAAGTGACCTATATACCTTACTTTGCTCCCTCGAATAAAAACATGCTCAAGCTGTGAAACCTTTCCATCCTGTAGAGGAGTGTAACCAGATCAGAAACTAAATGAAAGAAGAAAAAAAAGGATAAACCAATTGTTCAAGCTTTGAAAATAAGAACACAATAGCATATTCTTTTCAAAATTGAGAATCATCATCAGGACATGGAAGAAGATCAGAGAAGAAGAATGCATGTGACAGACAAAGGAATTAAGGTGTCAGTTTTTCCGTAACGAAGAAAAGGTATTAAGTGCTTGATTAAGTCCAGGAGACCAAAATCCAGTTAAACTGAAATCGTTTGATCCAAATGTAATCTGTACATCAAAGGAAAAGATTTTTAACCCCATGATAAGGATATTAGGAGTTTAAACCTTACTGGCTCATTCTATTCCACATTTTGAAATTGGGCAATTAGACCATCTCTTAAGATTCTCCACCACCCTTTTTGAACCTAAAAAAAAATTTGAAACAATCATTCAGCTTTATCTAGGTAAATCGCCTCACACAGAGTAGAACTTCAGTTCCTTTACAATTCAATCCACCTTTTTCACCGGATTTTAGGGCTACACCGCTAAAAGCCCAGGGTTTTGGAACACTATTATGCATCGATATTCAACCACTCTAGGGAGTAAAACAAATTCGCTAATCTTGCAAGTGATAGGTCAGATTCACATAAAAGGTACAGTCTAACAGCAAGCCCGTGAAATCTAGGGTTTAACGTGGCAGCGGAGAATGCAGGACTTGAAAATTAACAACACATTGAAAAGAAAGGAACAAAAGAGAGATTGGATTGAGTAAGTGGTACCTTGGCGGTGTAGGTGATGTTCTCGAGCTGACAGTTCCAGTTATCCTCGCACTCCACCATGCTTCCTCTGTAAAGCTCACCGCTCTTCAGCTCCACTGTTACCACGTGCCCTGACGCTTCGTGAAGAAGCTTCACTGGTATTCCCAAGCTTCTACTCATGACTATACTCTCCTCTCTGCTGTTTTTCGCTCTGCAAAACCCTAACTAAGACCCACCCTTTACCGTTGAATTCCCTCTCCCCCTTATTTATAGTGGCCCACAATACGTCGTTCTTATGCGGGTGGGTTTTTCCGTAATTTCAAAGTGTAAAAATATACGAAGACGACATGTCGTTCCTTGTTTTTGGGCCTTGGGAGACGTTCCTTGTATGGAAAAAAAGAAGAAGTTTTTAAACTATCTGAAAGCAACACGTTACACGTAGCGCCCAACCAACGGTTGTAGACGACTTTTCACGGGCAGCGGAGGTAGCATAAACTTTGTCCCATTGGCAAGCAAATCCCTTACCCAGAAACAGAAACAATCGAATTGAACGAGAAAATGTTTGGTATAACTCAAGTCCCACGGATCTTTCTTTCACGCATTGCCATTTTATATTGCTTGATTTTTGTAACTTTATATTTATTTAGATTTAGGCTTTTATTGTAATTATATTACATCAGTAATGTAGTCGCTAAATATAATACAAATAACAACACTTGCCCAATAAAAGCATGAAATGACAGTTGTTGATTGGAAATTAAGATATAGAGACATGATAACATCAAGAGTAATGCTATTGCTACTGTATTGAGAGAGAATGAGATTTGTGTCTATCCATGACTCAACAGTTGTTGATTGGAAATTAAGATACAGAGACATGATAATATCATATGCTATTGCTACTGTATTGAGAGAGAATGAGATTTGTGTCTATCTCTGACTCACAGTGAGAGTGAGTGAGTGAGTGACAGTCTGACAGATAGGCAGAGACACAAAGAGAGAGAGAGAGAGAGAGAGAGAGAGAGAGTAGGTGAAGAAGATGCTGGGTTCTTTGGTTCTTCATCATCCCACTCCTGCTGCTGGTGCTGCTCTTGGATCCTTAAGCAACCGCTACCTGAGACTGAGGGTAAGCAACTCAACCGAAATGTTTCCTTTCCTAGTTTAATTATTAATTAATTAATTTCTACCCCTAAACCCTAAACCCTATTAAGTTGGATTAATCAGAAAATACGTTTCTAGCCTTCCTGGATGGTAATCTGCACTATTCATCATCTTCAACCACAACCACAACCACCATATGTATATATTTTTAATTTTTTAATTTTATAAAGAATAATTTTTTCCTCCAGCCGCATAAATTGTGATCTTAATTAGTTTCTGTTTAGTCTTGAACCTTGAAACCTCTTCTTCTTATCATCTCTGTTTTTTACTACTATTATTACAGGCCTTGAAGATTAATCGACACTCTGGCAAAAAGCAAGCACCACTAGTAACCTTTGGATCTCAAAACTCATCGCTTGGTTACCGCAGACTTGTTTCCCCGTCAACAAGTTCAATATGTGCCAAGGTACCTAATACCTATGCTATGCTTGACATTTTTATTATCAACTACTAGACGACAGCCAATCTTTACTTCCCAGTATCGACTTTTAGTAATAAAAAAGAACCCATGTTCTGTGCTTTCCTTGTTAGGAGGAGGAGGATAGTTTCAAAATTTCAGCTGTTTTCACAGACGACAGCTCCGCAGTGACAATGGCTGATGAAGAGATGGAAAGTATTGGAATCTTGAGCATCGATCAAGCCTTGGAACCATACAAGGAGCACTTCAAGTATAGAATAAAGAGATATGTGGATCAGAAAAGGCTTATTGAGACATATGAAGGAGGTCTAGAGGAATTTGCTCAAGGTGAGGTGACTTTTATTGTTACCTTTCCTTTTTGGTTTCTTAGAACAGATTATTGAAAACTTGTTTGCTTCATCTCTAGGTTATGTGAAATTTGGATTTAACAGAGAAGAAGGTGGAATTGTGTACCGTGAATGGGCTCCTGCTGCTCAGTGAGTTCATTAGATTCTGAACTACATTTTAATAAACCTCTTGAGGCATAATATTTGTCTTAATCACTTAAATAGAAGCTATATTTCTTGTACCTTAGGGAGGCACAGCTTATTGGGGACTTTAATGGATGGGATGGCTCCAAACACAAGATGGAGAAAAACCAATATGGGGTTTGGAGTATCAAGATACCCAATTCTGATGGAAATTCAGCCATTCCTCACAATTCAAGGGTTAAATTCCGGTTCAAGCATGGAAATGGAGTTTGGGTTGATCGTATCCCTGCTTGGATTAAATATGCCACCGTGGACCCAGCAAGGTTCGCAGCACCATATGATGGTGTGTACTGGGATCCACCACCATCAGAAAGGTGCCATTTATTCATACTTTCTCCTCTTCTAAGTTGCATTAGGTGAAAAAAATGGTTAATTGATATGCAGAGTTTCTGGGGAACTTAAATTCTTGCATCTAAGTCCAAAAGCTAGAAACATGCTTCATAACATATTATAAAAGTCAGATTGCAAAATACACTTAAATAATCTTTTGGAACTTCTACCCTGGCTTGGCCCATTTCATCCAAACAAGAGAGTCTTTTGACCATGCAGGTTTCAGTTTAAGCATCCTCATCCTCCAAAACCCAAAGCTCCGCGCATATATGAGGCTCATGTTGGAATGAGTAGCTCAGAACCCCGCATCAGTTCATACAGAGAATTTGCTGATGACGTTTTGCCTCGTATCCGAGCAAATAACTATAACACAGTCCAGTTGATGGCTGTGATGGAGCATTCCTATTATGCATCATTCGGCTATCATGTGACAAACTTCTTTGCCGTAAGCAGTAGATCTGGAACACCTGAGGACCTTAAATATCTAATTGATAAAGCCCATTCCCTAGGCCTGCGGGTATTGATGGATGTTGTTCACAGCCATGCAAGTAACAACGTTACTGATGGCCTCAATGGCTTTGAAGTTGGTCAAAGCTCACAAGAGTCCTACTTCCACACAGGGGATAGAGGCTACCATAAGTTATGGGATAGCCGACTTTTCAACTATTCTAATTGGGAAGTTCTCCGCTTCCTTTTATCCAACTTGAGGTGGTGGCTGGAGGAGTTTAAATTTGATGGGTTTCGATTTGATGGAGTAACTTCAATGTTATATCATCACCATGGGATAAACACGGCATTTACAGGGGATTATCATGAGTATTTTAGTGAGGCAACAGATGTTGATGCTGTTGTTTATTTGATGCTTGCCAACTATCTGATCAATAAGATTTTGCCAGATGCAACTGTAATTGCTGAAGATGTTTCTGGTATGCCTGGACTTGGTCGGCCTGTCTCTGAAGGTGGTATTGGTTTTGATTACCGGCTGGCAATGGCCATCCCTGACAAATGGATTGATTACCTGAAAAACAAGAATGACGAAGAGTGGTCAATGAAGGAAATTTCATGCAGCTTGACAAATAGGAGATACACTGAGAAGTGTATCTCCTATGCGGAGAGTCATGACCAGGTATGAGGTTTTGCTTCTTGTTTCTATCTGTCGTTCTATTATGGATGAAGAAAGAGACAAAAAGAAGACGAGAGTTCAAGTTTTATCGTAGTGAATGGGCTTTCCCAAACTACACTTATAATATCATTCCATTTGTTTCATTTTCTCATTTATTGTTGCCAAAATTGCTCCCCCTCCCCCCTTTTCTATCTCTTGCTTACTTTTGGTCGTAACCACTTGCAGGCAATTGTGGGTGACAAGACAATTGCGTTCTTTTTGATGGATAGAGAAATGTATTCTGGCATGTCTTGTTTAACTGATGCTTCTCCTACTATTGAGCGAGGGGTAGCGCTTCACAAGGTTTTTTCTGTTACTTCTGTACAAGAAGCAATCTGACGCATATTGTTTTTCGGTTCATAGATGTCTATCTGAACAGTCTCTTTCATAAACTCTTATATTGTTTATTGTTGTTTTTTTAATGTATGACTATCAAACTGCACCAATCATGTTCACCACCTATATAACTGACAAAATTGCAATTTATTACTCTTCTTAACAATGATTGTGGGGCTGACTTGGATTTTGGATATGGAGAACTGAACTACTGTCAGATTTGTTTAAAGATTCATCTCTTAAATGCTTTTTATCATAAATCTTCACTTCATTCTTCTTCTTTAAAAAAAAATACAAAAATCAATTTGTTGTCATTGTTGTCTCCATTTTTGCAGATGATACATTTTTTAACTATGGCATTAGGAGGTGAGGGCTACCTTAATTTTATGGGAAATGAGGTAAGCACATTGGCCAAGTTTGCAGCTATTGTTTTTTTATTGGAGAGGAAATTTAGAACATATGAAAAAGTACTGCTGCAACCCAGTAGAAAGTTTGGTTCTTTATCACTCTTAAATTGTATGTAACACATGGAACTGAGAATAACGGGCGAAGGAGATCTGGCTGTGTTCTTTATATTACCACCTTTTGTCAAGTGTGGGGAGGGAGAGACACTAAGGGTTACTAAATAACTTGATGTGAGTTCCCTAGAGAAGGGCTTACTGGCTCTTCCTATCAATCATGTAAAACCCACTTTTTCTAAAGAGTCAAATGTACATCCCCATAATTCCTTCTGCTAGCTTTGTAGTTTCAAGATTTCTTTGGATAGTTTTCTTACTGAATGATTTGTGTAGTTTGGCCATCCTGAATGGGTCGACTTTCCAAGAGAAGGCAATGGGTGGAGTTATGAAAAGTGCAGACGCCAATGGAACCTGGTGGATACAGATCACTTGAGATATAAGGTTAGAAGACAAATTTTTAGTTTTTGGCATACTTTATTATTCCTTTTGTCAATGGGCTCCTATTGCACTGTAATCATTGAAGGATGAAATGATAACTGGCCACATAACATTCACATAAAACTTTAATTACTATACTTGCAATATATGCATATAAACTAGCACAAATTAGATAGACAACTAGGCCGGCAAAGTATTATTTATTATCGTTGCCTATATTTAAATGCAGCTCTTGTCAACAAGCTTCCTCTATTTTGTTTTTTTCTTCTTCTGAGGTCACACTTATTGCAATTGAGGACCATACATGCCTTTGACCATGTGATCTATATTTCATATTTGATGTCCTAGATTCTTCTGTTATAATGGTTTGATCAGGGGCCATATCTAACCTAAGAATCTGTGCATGTTTATGATTGATAACTTATGGCATGGAATTGTGGTGGGACATTATTGATGAACTCTGTCACTTCCACCTCTGTATCATGCAAAAGGGCACCCATGTGTACCATGTATTTTTGTAGGATCTTAATATATGATTTCATGTTGCATAGCTGATTTTTCTGCTTTTACTTGCAATATTTACCATTTCTTACATGCTTATGCTTGGAACTTGTCCAGTTTATGAATGCATTTGACAGAGCTATGAATTTGCTTGATGAAAAATTTTCATTCCTGTCATCGACAAAGCAGATAGTGAGTAGCACAAATGAAGAAGACAAGGTCAGATTATCTTCTTTTTTAACCCAATTAGAGATAAGCCAGTTAAGTGATAATGTAAACAAAGATAGATGTTTGAAACATTGAGTAATTGTTGGATTTTACAGGTTATTGTCTTTGAGCGTGGAGATTTAGTTTTTGTGTTCAATTTTCATCCAGAAAACACATATGATGGGTACGTTTGTTCTTACCTTTGCAGAAGTATCTGCATGCTTGTTTGTTTCTGCACAAATAACGTTGTTTATTTGAGTGACTTGTGTTGTGTGATGAAACATACAGGTATAAAGTTGGGTGTGACTTACCTGGGAAGTACAGAGTTGCACTAGATAGTGATGCTTTGGAGTTTGGTGGACATGGAAGAGTAAGTGATTCCTTTCTATACCTATTCTTGGTGGGGGTGAAGGAGAGTACTGTTAAGGATAATGCCTACCAAAAGAAACAAAAAAACAAAAAGGGAATGCATCATATCTCTTTTTGATCAGATGCAAGCCTATTGATTATGTTGATTTCACTCTGCAGGTAGGCCATGATGTAGACCACTTCACATTCCCAGAAGGAGTACCAGGGGTTCCTGAAACTAATTTTAACAACCGTCCCAACTCCTTCAAAATACTCTCACCAGCTCACACATGCGTGGTATGATAATCTTTATAAAAAAGAAGGAAGTTATTTATGGTTTTATTGAACATTATTATGATGAATTTCTTATTTCAGTGCAAATACATATCTAAATGTCACGTCCTGCCTAAAACTTCACTAATGAAATATCAGTGATTGATTTGATTTTTAATTGTTTCTTTGCAAATTTTTAAGGTTTACTATCGAGTGGATGAAAGTCGGGAGGCAGATGTGGATGAGACATCAATAGCGGAAGTTGTGGTTGGGAAGGAGAATTTTGAAGAGTTGGGTTCCGTGATAGTTGATGGCAATGTTGGTCCAAGAGCAGTAGAGAGTGGCGAAGGGTCATCAGATGACTGAACTGAAAGTTTCTCTGTGTAAATTGTGGATGTGAATAAAAATAATAATGGGGGTTTGCTATCAGTGTTAAAAACAATATAACTGGGGTCATCAGATGACTGAACTGAAAGTTTTACTCTCTGTAAATTGTGGATGTGAATAAAAATAATGGGGTTTGCCATCAGTGTTAAAAACAATATAACTGGGGTCATCTGATGACTGAACTGAAAGTTTCTGTGTGTAAATTGTGGATGTGAATAAAAATAATGGGGTTTGCTATCAGTGTTAAAAACAATATAACTTGGTTCATGAGATGACTGAACTGAAAGTTTTACTCTCTGTAAATTGTGGATGTGAATAAAAATAATGGGGTTTGCTATCAGTGTTAAAAACAATATAACTCGGGTCTTCTGGATTGGAAAAAAATATATACATATTTATCCCAAGTGACATTTTAAATTCTAACATATTATAATAACAATTGGCTTTGTCACACAAGTGCTGCAGAATGAGCAATTTAACATATCTAAATTGGATACACAACTGGATCTTCTGTTTTTGCCCCCGCAGAGAGCAAAAGGACATTTATTCAAATGAGCAACGCTCAACAACACGAAATTCCTTTTCACCCATTCAGCTAGCTGACCTTGCTTGGAGCTTAAAGCGATCCAGTACTTGTTCGGTTTTCCCTAGCTTTGTACTGAAGTTGAGAAAGAAGTCTTTGTATTGGAAGCCTTTATAAAGTTGGGGATTGCTTGCATTAATAAGAGCTGCAGCAGGTTCTATAAGGCAGTCATTGGAAGGCATCATGAAAAACCCAGCTGAAATCCGAGCTTCACTTGAATTCGTCACTGCCCGATGTTCAGCACTTTTCAACTCGCCATTGCTGATAATCTACATCCCCATTCCAACCATAATTTATCATGGTAAATAAAAGAAGGTAATGAGGGACAAAATACAATAATCTTCAGCATAAAGAAGGGTGCACTAGTCTAGTACTAGTAGTAGTGTAGTGTACCTGTAACTGATAACCTACATTAACCACAAGTGCATGTGGAAGAGGCTCCACACCAATCCATTCCCCATCCTTGAAAACTTGAAGACCATTTACATCCCCTTGAAGTAAAATGGTTATGAGGTTTGGGTCACAGTGTTTAGGTAATCCCAGTGTCAAACTTGGTTCTGGGCAAGGTGGGTAATAATTAACTGAGAGTAGCATTTGTTGGCTTAGTTCATCCCTGAAATACCCAGCTCCAACCCTGAGTCCTTCACCGATTAGCTCCAAAATGTTCGAAGCCAGTTCCCTCACTTGTGTTGAACATGCCCCAACAAGCTCTCTGAAAATGTCATTGTCATCATCACTAAGTATATATGTGATATATCAAAGGTTGATCCTGGACAATCATCATGATATGTCACTCACCCATATCTAATTGGTTTTTGGGGCCAGAAATGCTTGCATTCCTCAAGAGGATGGCAAGGGTGTTTTAGGCAGTCACGCCAGATATGAACATCTTCCCCATCATAATTTCCACTGCTGCTGCTGGTGAAGAGCCTGCAGCTTTTGTTGGGGTCCTCAGAGTAGAGGCTTGCTTTGTCCTCTGCAGGCAACTCTTCAAACAACTCCTTGAACACACCCATTGTCTCACTCAACAAATGTTCTGATATGCCATGATTAATTACCTGCTCTATAAAATAACATTAACATAATTTTGTACTTAATTATGACAGTTTAAGCAGAGTTTTAAGTTATCAACCCTAAACCTAAGAAGATGAATTTAAAGCCTAATAAAATAAATAACCTGAAAAAATCCAAATTCTTGGCTAGCCTTGAGTATTTGCTCAACTATATAGGTTCTTCGGTTATCAGATTCAGAAGCTTCTTCTGCTCCACCACCCAAATCAATCACTGGAATGTTGTTGCACAAAGGAACGGCAAGCTTCCCTGGTCTTGCATCAGGTGGGAATATGTAAGTCTCAGGCAAGGGCCTTTCCTTGTACCTGCTTGAAATAAGCTTCTCCATTGTTTTCATCTGAATCTGATTCTCATCTCCAAAATGGTTGGCCATACTCACTCGGTTCGGTTGCATAAAGATAGAGTCGTCTTAATTTCACATACATAAATATTATAAAACAAAGGAAACTGGCCCACTTTTTCTTTTCTACTAATCAGATGACAATACTGAAGTAGTCGAGTTCTCTTTTGTTAATTAATTTCTGTTAGTCAGTTAGCAAGAAGCAAACATCAGGCCCCAGCTTATCCAAAATGGCGGCTACTCAACTCTGAAGCTGGGCTCCTAATTAATTTTGATTGCAAAATGAAATCTGCTCACTTCTCACACCTCTCAGCCCCAATCCGTGCCCGAAATCCTAAACACACTTCTTCTTCTTCAGTTAATCTTCTCCAGCCCTGCAAATTCAGCTCTGTTTCTCTGACTTCGCCTTCAAAGTCCTCCCGTTTATTCACGCTTTGCGCTTCCAATTCCGCTAAAACGTCCTCTTCCCTGTCCGACCCTGCCGTGACGGAGCTCACCAAGGATGCTTTTCTTCAAATCGACGTGTCGCAAGGTCCGTTGAATGTGGAAGTCAGAAACCCTAGCGTTCCGAGTCCGTCGGTGGCCAAATTGAGCTTGAGCGAACAAGCTTTCTTTCTCCTGACCTTCATCGCCTGCACGGTATAGGCCTCAATTCTATTCTTCCATATTTAGATCACTTAAATTTTTATTTTTGATGTGGAAATTGGGATTAATCTATAAAATAAATGATAAATTTGAAGACTTTTTATCTATTTATTTTGATATAAGAGTCAGGGATCAGAAAAAGAAGTTAATTTTGTTCATCATTGCTGATACGAGCATGGATTGATTTCATTGTATGCAGACTTCTGTGGCATGTACGAGCCTTGTAATTGCAGCTGTACCAACGCTTTGTGTAAGTTGTCGTCTGCTCATTCTGCATTTCAGTTTAAAGGAAAAAGCAAGTGCTTAGAAAATCAGTTAATTTGTTTTAGGGAGTTTTGACTTTACAATGGGATAATATTTTTCAATTAAACCCTAAACCCAGAATCATATTCTATTCGCTTCTATTTCTATCTTTCTACTATTTGTTCTTGGGTCTTGGTTCGTTTGCAATTGATCGTTCCATCCATTCTTTGATAGCTGTAAGTCACTTTAAAAATCTTTTCTTTGGTTTGAATCTCATGTTTGGAATTTGGTCCAAATTCTGGTTCCAATGTGGCTCGTTTCTTGTATATTCTGTAGGCAATGGGGAGAGCTGCACTATCTCTTTCAAAGCTGGCAGATACAGCTCGTGAAGAACTCCCTAGTACTATGGCTGCCATTAGGCTTTCAGGAATGGAAATAAGTGATCTTACACTGGAACTGAGTGATCTAAGGTGATAATGACATCTTTCTTTCTGATTCATTGTTACGATCCATTGATTAATCAATTGAGTGTTATTGAACCTTTCAGCATTACTTTGTAGCTTCTCCTCTATTGAGTATATATCCTATGAGAGTATCTCCGGTAGGAGTCATATTTAGGGGTCAAATTTAAGACTGACTCCAATAAGGAGATATCCAAATCACTAAAAAATTTAAGGACAACAATAAAATTTTCTTGATCACCCAACCCGTTTCCCTCCTGCTCCACAACAACCGTAGGCTCTTCCGACTACACCCTCTGCACAAAATTAAAACAAACCCAGAAAAAAACCAACCCCAGTTGCACCCCGTACACCCAAAAATTACCTGCAACCTCAATCCCAATCCCAGGAAATCAAACCCAATTGCAATCCCAGAAAAATCATGGACCCCTATTGGAGATGCTATTAGTCACCCAATTATATCCCCAATATGAATCCATTCAATGGTTGGCCGTACTTGTACACACATGCACCCACATCTACATACAGAATGGGGTATTTAAGGTTAAGGAGGAGGAATTGTGCTATTCCCGTTTTTTTTATTTTTTTTCAGAAATACACCAAGTCTGGTTTGATAGGAGGAATGATTTCATGAGGCAATTGGCTATCTGTCATATCTGTCATATCTGTCAAGCCCTTCTTATTAATTTTCTCCTTTATGCATGTTTCATTCATGTCTTGTGAGTTTTATATCTCAATTGCTAAATTGCATTATGTATGTCATGCTTTTATTTCATTTTTTTTTTTTTTTTTTTTTTTTCAGAAATACACTAAGTCTGGTTTGATAGGAGGAATGATTTCATGAGGCAATTGGCTATCTGTCATATCTGTCAAGCCCTTATTAATTTTCTCCTTTATGCATGTTTCATTCATGTCTTGTGAGTTTTATATCTCAATTGCTAAGTTGGATTATGTATGTCATGCTTTTATTCCATTCTTTGCTCAGCCAAGAGATAGCTGATGGGGTCAGCAAATCCACTCAAGCTGTTCAAGCTGCTGAAGCTGGGATTCGGCAGATTGGTTCACTTGCTCGACAGCAGACTATGTGTATGTTTTAAGCTCCATCTTGTAAAGAATTTGATCTGCTGCTGTTTTTCGTAATACAGGCTTTCCATTGATCTTCACCCACTTCTAAACAAGTACTATTAATCTTTTGTGATACAGCTATGATTCAAGAGAGGGCGAGCCTGCCCATCATCTCTTTGCAACCTGCTGTTGTTGGAGCAGCAAAGAAGACTTCTCGTGCTGTTGGCCAAGCCACCAGGACGCTCATGAATATAATCTCTCGAAAGGACTTAGAGAATGAGGATGACATTGGAATTGATAGGGTGGAAATTTGAGTTTGCCGCACTTAAAATCAGTAACTCTATTCTCACCAACTTTGTGCACATACTTGTATGTACTCCATTATTTCCACCACTAAGTCAAATATTTTAAAGTTAATAGGAGAAGAACTTTTGCACAAACGTTTGTGAAAATAGTTTACACTGAAATTTTGCGCCCTTGGTACAGCTTGTAGAGCAGTTATTGTAAGTGCAAATGCCCCGAAGTTAGGGATAAGTCGTCAAGATACTGTTGACTACATAGAAGCTCATAAGCTCCTGTTGCAGTGGTGGTCCAGTTCTTCGAATTGAAGCTGTCAAAGGAGTAAGAAGTTCCTAAGCTCCTATTGTGATGCTGGTCCAATTATAATGTGAGATTCCTATATTACCGTTCCAAACTAAGGTTGGCCGTTACCACAACATTGATGATGTGATGGACTCTTTGTGGTACAGAGGCGCTGTAGAACTGAAAGAAAAGGAAATTGCAGAGACAAAATGAGAAAGAGGATAAGTTTGTTGTTCATTCAGCTGTTGTTTATTAATGCTTGCCAACTATCTGATCTGAACCATTAGATTTTGCAAGATGCAACTGTAATTACTGAAGATGGTTCTGGTTTGCCTACGCGTATGCTCTGTCTGAAGTCTGAAGGTGGTATGGTATTGGTTTGGGTCATTACCATCATACAGTTTTTTTCTTCGTATTTGCTCTTTTGTATTGCTTTCACAGTAGAAGAGACATCCTCCTCCTCCTAATTGTATGGTGGTCCGTCCCCTGCTCCTCCATTGTGTGGTTGAAAAGGAGCTAAGCGACTTGAGAAACAAAGAATATAGATCGCAAAAAAGATGAGGGTTATTTCAAGCGATAACATCTTCCTGTTCCGAATAATAACCTAAATTAAAATTAGGTCGTAAGGAAAGAGGGTGATCTGATAATATTAATAGAATAGGCACGCAGGCACATCAATTTTATATAAGTTGAGTTTCAGAAACAGAGAAAGCGGAGGCAAGGCAACACAAATTTGCCTGCCTGAGTGAGTAAGATACGGTTCATCAAATCAAGTCAATCAACTAAAACATCCCAAACTATTGAAATCTTGCCTAATAATACCCAACCCTTGGAGTTGGAGTTGGAGTTGGAGTTGGAGCTCCGGTTTTCCGTCCCCCGCGATTTGCAGATTTATGATTTTGATGAGAGGAGTACAAAGTAGGCTGAGGCAGAGGAGGCTTCATATTTTCTTTGTTCAAGCTTCTCAGCATATACCTGGGAGCCGGTGCCGGAGCTGGAGTTGGAGTCGGAGCCTGTTGAGTCTCCACCACCGAGTAAGCAGCAGAGACCGATTTCCTCAAGCTTTGAAGCTTCCTACTGCTAGTAGTAGTACGAGTGCTGGTAAAACTGTTTCTTTTGGCAGATTCTACTGTAACACCCAGCTTATTATTGTACTTGCATTTAGAGGCGGACGCAGACGCAGACGCGGCAGTTGTTGAATAATTTGTCTCACAACCGCCCTCCTTTACCTTGATCTTATTCTTCCTATTCAGCCGCTCATTCCTTCTAGCAGAATACTCCTCGTAAAACCTACCCCTTTCAAACAAAGGACTCGAATTCAACGAACTCAGCCTATGGCTGCTGCTGCTATCAGTATCTCCACCACCACCACAATAATCTTCCTTGCCCAATTCCTCTCCAGTTACCATCTTTTCTAAAGCCCTCAGTTCCCACGAAATGGAGCGGTATTCAGGTCGAAGCTCCGCTTCTTCCATCTCCCATGTGCCCGTGCGCCTTGCTTTCTCCGATTTTCTTAACGAACCGCCTGAGCCAATTCCAAAATTATTGATATAATCATATCACCTCAATGCCCAAATTAAAAACCGAATTCGAAAACGAAAAACCAGACCTGTTAAAATTTTATCGGTTTGCTCGAACCCGATCTCAGACCGCCCTGCTGGGGTTGGCATACAGTTTGAGTTTGATCCGAGGACCCGACGGGGTCGAAGCCTGATGGGTGATTTAGCAAGAGGAGGCTTGCGATCCGGTTTCATCTTTGACATTGATGATTGATGATATTCAAACTTCAGAGCAGATTGCAAAATACCCAGAGAGAGAGAGAGAGAGAGAGAGAGAGAGAGCGCAGTGAAGAAGAAGGTGCTTAACTTTATCGTTGTATTGGTATCTGTGTTGTTTGGTTTTATTGTGTGAGAGGACCAGTGGCTTTAAAATATTAAAAGGTCTAGCGCCTCCAACGGTCATATTTTTGATCGGACGGTCTAGCGTGCATTCTTTGAAATTTAAACAGTAGAGTAGATTTTTCATTAAATACCTGGATTTTCCTTTTATTGTTTGAGGATTTGTCAACTAAAGCGCGAAATTATAGAGTGTCACCGTCTTACCACGCCAGTTGGTGATCCTCCGCTCAAAATTTGTATAAAAAAAATTAAGCTTTTATAGTTATATTTAAAACTTACATTCATAATAAAACTAAAGGGAAAAATAAATACAAAAATACAAAAAAGGATAGAGACCATGCCGAAAATTTAAGATTTGGTGAAATAGTCTCAAAGTCAAAATCAAATGGCCTTTAGCTTTCGTTTAGGGCACCATATTTTATGAAATAAGTTTTTACTTTTTTGGACTGGATACAATGTGTTCGAGTTGAATTAGATACCCATTTGTGTGTGTGTAAGTCCATCCAATTCGCATCATTGGAGATGCGCATTAACATCACAAGTACTGTGAATTCAGATTCAACCACTAAGTGGAAAGTTGCAAGATAACAATCATTTTATACAAGTCTTATTAAGTTCCTACCTCCCTTTCTTCCCTAGTCAATAGGGACACCTCTCCTTCCCTTAATCAGGATCTATCAAATGTGCCTAACCGAGCATTTTACTTAAGGGAGTTGGTCGTAGAATTGACATTTGGAGGCTTGGATCCCCTCGTCGATTTGGAGAGTTTCGCCTTTTGAAGTGTCACGTAGGGCAATTGGGTCAGGTCGAGTTAAAAAGGCTTTGACACTTCTCTTGTGTATTTAAAATGAAAATATTGTTCAAATTCAAAGTCACTCCTTTTGTTTGTTATGTAGGGAAATTTGCTCCTTGCCTGTATGATTTGTGCAAACATGTCCTCTTTTTAAAATTATCGCTAAAATATCCTCTACAAATACTTCATATTGTCCACATATCACTTCTTTTTTGCCTTCCATATTTTCTCCGCTTGTCTCTTAAGTCACACTATGCTCCTTCATCATCTTCTTCACTCATCCATCGTCTTCTTCACTTCATCCCCAAACCATCAAAACCTATATGCGTAAATTTAAAGCCCCAAAATGTGAAAATTATTTAGCAAAACCCTAAAATGCAAAAATTCATTAGAATCCCAAAATACGAACATTAGTGAAATCTCAAAATGTGAAAATGCATTCGTGAAACACAAAAAACTCCAAAACTCGAAGTTTTGTGAAACCCCAAAAGTGAAAATTTTATAATAGGTCCAAAATGTGAAATTTCATTCTAGCAACCCATTTAGGCAAAAATTTCTTCATGACAAAATTCATTAGCGAAAGCCTAAAAAGTGAAAAAATTCATTTACATAGCCCTGAAAATATGAAAATTGATTAGCGAAATGCTAGAAGGCGAAGCTCCTAAAATCTGCATACAAAGTTTCTTATTTTTTGTTTGGTTACAGATAGGAACCCTGAATTACGAAAATTCATTTAAGAAACATCAAATGTGATAACTCATTCGCACAACCCCAAAATGGGGAAACCCAGGGTCTTAAAGAGAATGCTTAGTAGATTAGCTGAAGCCAAGCCTCGTGATGAATGCACTTTAGAGTTTCGTGATGAATTATGAAACTCCAAATTACAAAATTCATTTACGAGGTGAGTTGTATAAACCTAAGATAACATGCCTTTCTTTCCAGCTATCTATGTAACTTTTTGCTTATTGCTTCCTGTTACTTTATATGTTTACTTGCTACAGTGCCTCATGAAATATTGGTCAAATTTCATATTGCCCTTTGGAAGTTTAAGTGATTCACTTTGCCCCCTTGACCAAAATTTGGTGTTCCATGTTGCCCCTTGCCATCAACTCCATCTAAATCTCTATCAATTTTGATCCATGGACAAATTATATGTAAGCAATGAGAAAATTCACCAATTTCCCTGTTGTATGTAGGAATAGGATCAAAGTATTGATTCGATTGATCCATGGAGTACGTCAACAAAGTGGTTGATGGTTATTAGGACTTAGGACAAACACAGTGGCTCTGCTGGCGGAGCTTCTTATTAATCGCTTAATTAGCACAGGGCTCATAAGAGTTTTGCTTAGGAGAGGACGATACCCTACCCACACTACATCATATCAAGTCACACTACAAAAAAAACACACAACAGTCACCTTTTTTTTCGTGACTTTTGGCAGCATTAGCCACGAATATTCGTGACTAAAGTCATTTGTAACGGTGCAGTTACGAGTTTTGCCTTCGTTACATTTGTGGCCGTTACTATTGGCTAAAGTCACGATTAAAACTATTTCGTAACAAATTTTGTTGACCATCCTATTGCTCCAAAGTGGACCCCACATCATGTCTAATCAAATTATACTTATATTTTATTATTTGATTTGATTTGACTGCGCTGTCCAACATCATTTCATTATTCTTTTTTGTTTTAAAATAGAAGCCCTTTCCATTATTATTTGTGTTATATTAGTGTATTATATTTTTCACAATTATAATAATTTCCAATTCCTTTTTATTTTTATTTTTATTTTTAGCTGAAATCCAGATCCCTTACCGAAAGCCAGATCCCTTACCGAAAACCAAATCCCTTACCGAAAACCAAATCCCTTACCGAAAACCAGATTACAACACTCAAACCAAAATACCCATCACCCATTTCTTTGCTGAAATCACAATCAAAGCTGAAAAAATCTGAGTCAAGACCCATATCCTAAAAAGTGAAAAAATTCATTTACATAGCCCTGAAAATATGAAAATTGATTAGCGAAATGCTAGAAGGCGAAGCTCCTAAAATCTGCATACAAAGTTTCTTATTTTTTGTTTGGTTACAAATAGGAACCCTGAATTACGAAAATTCATTTAAGAAACATCAAATGTGATAACTCATTCGCACAACCCCAAAATGGGGAAACCCAGGGTCTTAAAGAGAATGCTTAGTAGATTAGCTGAAGCCAAGCCTCGTGATGAATGCACTTTAGAGTTTCGTGATGAATTATGAAACTCCAAATTACAAAATTCATTTACGAGGTGAGTTGTATAAACCTAAGATAACATGCCTTTCTTTCCAGCTATCTATGTAACTTTTTGCTTATTGCTTCCTGTTACTTTATATGTTTACTTGCTACAGTGCCTCATGAAATATTGGTCAAATTTCATATTGCCCTTTGGAAGTTTAAGTGATTCACTTTGCCCCCTTGACCAAAATTTGGTGTTCCATGTTGCCCCTTGCCATCAACTCCATCTAAATCTCTATCAATTTTTATCCATGGACAAATTATATGTAAGCCATGAGAAAATTCACCAATTTCCCTGTTGTATGTAGGAATAGGATCAAAGTATTGATTCGATTGATCCATGGAGTACGTCAACAAAGTGGTTGATGGTGATTAGGACTTAGGACAAACACAGTGGCTCTGCTGGCGGAGCTTCTTATTAATCGCTTAATTAGCACAGGGCTCATAAGAGTTTTGCTTAGGAGAGGACGATACCCTACCTACACTACATCATATCAAGTCAAAGGGGGTCTGTCTGTCTAAATCATGAATCATTATCAATTCAAGAGCTATATAGAAAACGAATAACTAGAGTGAGTGCGTACGTACGTTCTTAGTTTGGTATCAAGTCGATCGGCAATGATTTTCATATCATATGTTATTTGTAATGGATTAGCAATAGCTTTTTTAACTACGAAGGTTGCTATCATGCTTTTCGTCATCTCTTATCAAACATGTGTAGTCATGGTGATCATCGATCGAGAACCAAATGCACGCACGCTTCACTCTGATAAACATCACTAATATATATATATATATATATATATATAGAGAGAGAGAGAGAGAGAGAGAGAGAGAGAGAGAGAGTAGCTTATGGAAAAGGACTGATATGCATTTCATATATATTCTACAAATAATATGACAAACGAAGCTGGCGCCGCACCTAATGCAGAAAGATACCTTTCTGCCGCTTATAAACTAGCTAGCTAGCTAGTTGAAATGACAGATTCTTTTGCCAAACACATTGAAAAATGGAAGTAGAAATTATTTCCAAAGAGAAAATTAAACCATCGTGCCCAACACCCTCTCACCTGAGAATTTTTAAGCTTTCACTTCTGGACCAGCTCATACCAGCTCCCTATGCTCCCGTAATCCTCTTTTATCATCCTCCTATAAATGAAAATGACGATGATAATATTCATAGCAGGTTACATTTGCTAAAGACCTCTTTGGCAGAAACCTTAACTGGGTTTTACCCACTTGCTGGGGAGATCAAAGATGACCTGTCCATTGACTGCAACGACCAAGGAGCTCATTATGTGGAAGCCCGAGTTAACTACTCTAGTCTTGATGAATTTCTCAGCCGACCTGACCTTTTGCTACTACTACATCGCTTCCTCCCTTGTGATGTAACAAATGCAGGTGCAAGTGTAACCAACATTCAAGTCAATGTGTTCAAATGTGGCGGCATCGCCATCGGCCTATGCATCTCACACAAGATCCTTGATGGTGCTGCTTTGTGCACCTTTCTCAAATCCTGGACTGCCATTGCTCGTGCGCGCAGCAGCATCAGCAGCCCTGGCCCCGGCTCTTTGTTAAGAACATCCTCCTCCTCCTCATCATCATCATCAGATTCAATATTAATATCATCATCATCATCATCAGATTCAGATTCAGATGATCATCAAACAGAAGACGCAACAACATATACAAGCGTAGCTTCTTCAATAATAGGAGGGCCCAATTTATTTGCTGCAACTCGTCTGTTCCCCACCAACGATGATTTATGGCTTAGAGATTCATCAATTCCGATGTGGGGTTCCTTGTTCATAAAGGACGGCAAGTCCTCATGCGTCACAAAAAGATTTGTATTTGATGCCTCAGCTATAGCCAACCTCAAGGACATGGCCAATAGTTCATCATCATGTGTGCAAGTACTGAAACGTGGACCCACGCGTGTTGAAGTGGTTTCAGCTTTCATATGGCAATGCGCCATGGCTGCCTCTAAACAAAAATATGGTTTCGAAAGGCCTTCAGTGCTGACTCACACGGTGAACTTGCGCTCAAGGATATTCTTAGATGATGCTTATGAGGCTGCAGCAGCATCAGATACTGCTGCTGCTGCAGATTTAAGTTTGGAGAATTCTATTGGAAACCTCCTTTGGATTGCGGCTGCCCGATGTCCGATGCTAATGCTAGATGAGGAGGAGGAGGTGGCTAATAATAATAACAATAATAATAGCTCCGCTTCCGGATCAAGAATATTGCATGGGTTGGTGAGTGAGTTGAGAAATGCGTTGTCCAAAGTTGATGGTGGTTTTGTTAAGAAAATGCGATCAGGCGAGGAGGGGAAGACTCTCATGTTGGAGTGTCTGAAGGAAATAACTAAAACAAAAGAAGAAGAAGAAGAAGAAGAAGAAAAAGAATACTATGGGTTCAGTAGTTGGTGTAAGTTTGGGTTGTACGAAGCTGGTGATTTTGGGTGGGGAAAGCCAATCTGGATCAGCAGCATTGCTTCCACTGGTAATTCCGTCTTCATGAATCTCATCATTTTGGTGGACACCAAGTTGGGTGATGGAATAGAAGCATGGGTCACGTTGGACCAACATCACATGGCTCTTCTCCAATCCAATCCCCTTCTCCAAAAATTCGTTTCATTCGACCCCACTCCTTTACTACTCCTTTGATATCATATTATTGTACTATATATCATTAATCTTTATTTTATGCAAACAAACAAGACTGGTTAACTTGTTAATCTCATTTCACATTTTTGTGGTACAAAAAGATCACCTCACTACTAACATTTCTCTTTCACAAATAATAAGATTAAACTCAACCTGGAAACATAACGTACAGCTCAACATTTGTAAACTACAAGCCTAATTGAGAGACTATCAATACATTTAATTAATGTAATTCAACAATCAAGATTAGAAGTATGTAACCAATTTTCAATACAAAATATTTATTGGAGAAAAAAATAATTTTATTTCACTTTTATTTTTTGTTTATAATAATTATTATAAAAAAGAAAGAAATAAAAATAAAATACACACAATAATATTTGGCCCGCGGGCTCATGGGCCTACGGGGGCCCGCCCGGCCCGGCCCGCTTGGGCTTGGGCTTGGCTTGGGCTTGGGTGTTTGAAGCCCGGCCCGGCCCGATTAAGCCCATAAAAGCCCGGCCCGATCCGCCCACAAAAGCACGGTCCGTTAGGCCCGCATACATATATAATTATGTATAAATAAGGGTTTAGGATTAGGATTACATCACTTGAATAACAAATCCCCCTCTTTCATTTTTGTGTGTGTGTGTTGCTTGTTTGAAAAATTGTGTTTCTATTGAATTCTACTCATTTATAATTTATAATTGGATAATTGGCACATTAATTTGTGTCATTTATTAATACAACAATTATATATATATATATAATAAGACGAACAACATATAATATCGCCAAACATAATCATACCACCAAATATAATCATACTTTTCTTTAACATATCACCAAATACTTGCATATTTATTCATACCATCAACTTATTATTTTTTAGGCCCATTTCGGCCCCGCCCGACTCGATGGCCTTTTTCAAGCCCAGCCCATGAGATGGGCTTGGGCTTTGAATTTTTTAAAAAAGCCCGGCCTGATATTTTCTCTCTCCTCTTTAAAATTCAGCCCGGCCCGATTCGAATCCATTAAATTTGGGCCGGGCTAATCCGGCCCGCCCCATTGACGAGCCCTATCAGCTGCCACATAAAATGATATGCTAATGTGGTCAATTTTGTGTGTCTAAATAGCATTACTTATATATATGTGTGATTGTCTTCAAGGAATGTATGCAACATTTAACGAAAAAAGCAGACAATAATTTTAATTTTAAAAAATAAAAATAAAAAACAACTGTTGATTTTTCGGGTCAATTCAACTAAAATCTAACTGATCTCCTTGTTGTGGGACGATCCACAGTGGATCGAAACCAGCCAAGGCCGGTCTTCTTGCTCTAGGGGACCATGTAAAAAATGTAATGAGTGTCTGACCTACTGAATTCAGAAAAAGAAGTAATTTAAAGGAAAATAAGAAAAAATAAGCGAAGCTATCAAGACCGTTGAACGTGGAAGTTGGAACAACAGGACAAACTGACAGAAGAAGAGTTAACCCTCTTCCCTTCTCTTCTTTTGCCACACAGCTTGAAAATGGAATAATGAAAACTCAAGGAAAAGAAAAAAAAACTAAACTAAAATAGATCAACTTTTTCCTTCTTTTCTTCTTCTTCTTCTTGGTTTTGGTCTGACTGGCTCTGGCATGGCTCATCTCCTTCTCCTCTCCTCTCCCTTATCCATCAGTTTGTGTTTCTTTGCTTGGTTGCAAGGTTTCTTGGTCGTTCATGGCAATACTAATCTCACTCACTCTTCTTTGACGCCCATTAATCGTGATCTCTATCATTCCAGGTGACGTCTACTCTCTTTATCAACGATTTTTCTTTCCCTTATTCTATTTTTTACTGTGTTCCGATCTTTTTGCACTTCCCATATGTCTTTTTTGCCTGAATTAATCTGGCTCCTCTGAGTTGCGCTGAATTGGAAGTAACAGATTTATTTATTTTTCGTTGAATCTTAAAATGGGTTTTCTGTTTATTTCTTTCATTTCTTGTTTTCTTCGTGGAAGGAATTAGGGCTGATACTGACTGACTCTATGGTTGGTTGTTCAGAAATTGTAGGGAACTGAATGCCTGAATCTTGTTCTGGCTATTCACTAACATTTCATATCTTTGGTTTACTTGATGTCAACTTGTCATGAATTTCTCAGTTTATTTAACCTTGAAAACATCATATATATATAATCAAACTTTCCTTTTATTGGTCTGCAGTGGGGATTTGATGGAAGAAATAAAAGCTTTGGTCTTTCGTCACCCAGACCTGCTCACTGTAGGTTGCCTTTGCCGGTTTATTGTTTTCCTGAAATTCATTTAGTTTCCTAAAACTTTGATGTTAATGACAGTTCGATACAATTAAATCTCGAAACAAGGGCTACTCTGCTGAGATCGCAGTAGTTACCTATTGCCGGAGAAGGCAAGAGACTGATGACAGGCCAAAGTTTCGGATACTTCTTGTAAGGCTTTAATGTATTTTTATGCGTTGGATTCCTATTAATTAGATTTTGCATTCAGGGTTGGCTGTTTATAGGCCTTAATGTTCTTTGATTTTTCAAGTTAAACAAAAGCGGGGATTTCCATGTACTTCAACACTATATCAAACTGGTGTAATGAATTACAGAATATTTATAATCTGTTTTTTAGCGTATAGATAATCTCAGATTGGTAATGGCTGGTGTTTTTGACAGATGATTCCTTGTCTTCCAGAGTTTTGGACAGCATGGAAGGGAGCTCATTACATCTGAACTTGCTTTGCGAATCCTTTCAATATTGAGTAAAGAACAGTTTCTACCCAACCTGGACCCAGCCACCTTAGACCATACCCTTGACAAACTCTTGATAAAGGTAACTTTTTGATAATGTGCTGCAAGACTCTTTCCCTAATAATTATTAATGTAGATGCAATTTGCTTTTACCAGATGATGTCAACTGTTTATGAAACACTTCTGCTTTTGCTTCGTCCATTTAAGCAGCATACTACAACATGAGCTAGAAATATTAGGGCCACTAGAATTTGAAATAATGAATGGGCACCTCCATCTCATATCTTCATCTTCTTCCACTTCAAGTATCTGGCTTTCACTTCAATCTATCTGGCATTTCTTCAGAAATTATGAGCAATATTTTTATGCCTTCTGCTGTTTATCTCTAGGGTGAGTATATGAGCTCAAACTTACAAGTTGGCAACTCCTTATATGGAGATGATTTGTTTCCATGTTTCTCATGGATCCATCTGCATGTATTGCTCTTGAGAATTTTATATTATTTGTTAGGGGGTTTACAACTGGTATGCTTGATCTATAGTACTCATCATTAGAACCTGATGCCCCAGGGCTTGAAATACTTTCCTCTTCAATTCTGATGAGCTATTTCTTCGGAGATACTTGAAGAACTTTGGTATTTTTTGAGTTCTGATATCTAATTATATGTCAGATGGTTCCTATGGAAAACATAAATGGCCGCAGAATTGTTGAAGCAGGAGACCTCTGTGAGAGGAGAAATGGTAAAGCAGTTGATTTTGTGGATTTTGAAACATATTTATACGCACACTCTATTATAAATAGAATCCTCTCTGTCAATCAACATATATGCAATATCAGATGTTCCCCTATTATTTAAAAGGAACTAATAATAGATTTTAAAAGCAAGGATAGCCCGACAATTGTATAAATTACCCCATTTTCCAGTAGTCTGTACTTTTACTCCTGTTCCTAGACCAACTTTCTGCACTCACGTGTGAATATTCTTCTAGCATGTATTATGTATGTATGTGTGTGTGTGTGTGTGTGTGTATGTATATTGTGTTTAAGTTTGCATCTTGTGACAGGGAGAGGAGTTGATCTCAACCGTAATTGGAGCGTAGATTGGGGCAAAAAGGAGAAGGTTAGTCACACTTGTTCATTTGATGCTAGTCTTATTTTCTTATTCATGCTATATCACATTTATCATGTTGCTTGTTTATTTCATCTATTAATTGTCTTCTTGAGGTGGACCTTGTTTACCATTATATAGCAGTGCACGTAATATATAACACATCATTAGATGAAGCTGTAGTCTCATTCATTGTTTTTCCTGCTTTCTCTCTTTAAATTAAATATTCAACTGTCATTTCGTTTATTGTGCTATTTTGTTCTTAAAACTCTTCTTTCATTTTTATGTTGTTTTTCTATCACAGGATTATGATCCATATGAGGAAAATCCTGGAACTGCTCCTTTCAGCGAACCTGAAACTCAGATAATGCGGAAAGTTGCCGTGTCATTTGATCCACACATATGGGTTAATATACACTCTGGAATGGAGGTACGTCAGACAAACTTTCAGTTATTATTCCCTACTGTTGACTCCGAAGTCATATTCACCATTTTTGGAAGTTTCTGATTAAAGCACTTCTGTTTTACAAAAGTGGCATTGTCACCTACGATTTTGTCACTTACAGTGTATACAGTTTTATATTCTTTTACCAATTACCATTAAAGTGCAGCGACCCTTAATTTTTGTTTGATTTTTAATTTATGGTTTGTGTACTCTGCAAATGGCACATTTCTTATATAGCTTCTTGTTTTTTAGGCTCTATTTATGCCATATGACCATAAGAACACAACCCCTGATGGAGTTTCCTCGCACCAGATGAAGTCATTGCTTGAGGAACTCAACCATCTGCATTGCCAAAGGCGTTGCATGATTGGGTCTGGTGGAGGTTCTGTTGGGTTAGTATTACTAACAGTCACTATTATTGTTCAGTTCGTTGTTATTCTTACCAATGATATCTTCTGTTTTTTGCTTGCCCAATATGATTAATTACATGGCGGGGATGCTAGCCTCAATAACCAATTGAACTGTGCTGGAGGATGAGGGCTAGAGGGTTTTACATAGGAAATTTGGCACTTGTGAGGGCATAGGGGTAGTTTGACTGCAAGGCTAAAGCCCTGCTGGGTCTAAAATTTTAAGTAGTTTAGTTGGCTCATTAATCTTTACACCACAACTCATGAGCCAGAGTTTAAAGGATTTAAAGCTCACTATTTAAAAATGCTTATTTTAAGTTTTTCCATTAAGTTTTAATACGGCTTAATTGTAGGTATCTGGCACACGGGACAGCAACTGATTATATGTTTGATATTGTAAGGGTGCCAATGGCTTTCACCTTTGAGGTTTGTCAAATTATCCCTCTTTTTCCTTCAAATTTATGATCTCAAAGAAAACTTGACTCAGACAAATCTGCATCCTTTTTCATTTTGACTAAGATATATGGAGATGGAGCAGCCTCATCAAGAGATTGCTTCAAAATGTTCAATCCCACTGACTTTGGTACCTTCAATGTATGTTAGTTTTTTGGTTCATCTTTTAAGTTTCAGCATATACAGAACCAACAGTTAATGAAATGGGGTCTCAACGAACCAACAGTTAATGTTTAACAGTGTAAAATTTTCACTTTCAGAGAGTTCTCAATGAATGGTCTGCGGCATTTTTCACAATTTTTAAATTGGGGCCAAACCATCTTGGTGAAAATTATTCCAAGGCTTCTGTGCCCACCTTAGACAAGTGGGTATCCATAGATGAGTATCTTGACGGGTACTTAGTTGAGAGGAGTAGCAGATATGGAAAGAAGATGGAGGTGCTTGAATTAGGAATGCAGGAGATAAGAACATATTTCAGGCTCTTCTTGTTATCTTCCGTCCTGTTATTGTTCATGTTCTGTTCCAGAATTTCAAAAGGCAAGTGTGCTAGACCAATTGTTTCTGCTATTGCACTCTGATATTGAGAAACAACCCGGCGTCAGCAGCTTCCTGCCGCACTGGACTGATCAGATGTGGTTCCGCACATTCCACCACTTCTCCATTTGTTTCCAATAGTTTTAGTGAAACACCATGAGCAGCAAGAAGTTGAGGTCCGTAATTTGAAGTGAATTTTGATTTACCCATTCCTAGTCGTCATGGGAAGAACAGGAAAAATAAGAATATATATGCCAAATTTTTGAGATAGGATCTCCTCAAATTTTTATATGTACAAGTACACACAATACGAACAATTTTTTTAACTCATAGTGTAATTGTTTACTCTGTAAAACTAGTCATATTCTTTTCAAGTGAAGCATCAATGTATTTGCTTACCGAGTCTTCGGATGTCTTAACTTTGCATATCATAACACCGGACTAAAATATAATGCACATCTCTTTGCAGACAAAAAAAGAGTGGAAAACAAAATGCTGCCTAAATAATCACGCTCTTCCTATAAAGACATGAAGAAAAAAATATAAGCCGACTTAGTTTTATAATTACATTCCACTTTATGATAAAAAGTAATTGGCAAATTTTTACAAGATACAAGCAACAATTTTATCTGGTGCTTAAACTATAATTATATTGAGGTGAAGGGGGTTGTTTCTTCAACTGTTCTCGTGTTTGTTAAGAGGGTGTGGCAGGTCTCTTTCTTCCCAAACTCTGGAACATGATCGTCCTTGAGGTTGAATTCCATTGCATGATGGCCAGCCTAAATCTTGGTTCCTGCAAAATCATCAGACATAAAGAAAAAGAAATGTTTGGAGATGCTGACATTCGTGAAACTTAAATTCATGCTTGTGTGTGTAAATACGCGGCTTTGGCCTAACCTTCCTATTAGACCCTAAACTACTGAAGGAAGAAAAAAATATGTCAATATACAGTTTGGGCCTAACCTTCATATGAGACCTGACTAGATCAAGCATGATAAGGAGAACACAAGTAAATTTGGCTATATGATACGACTCAAATCATATCATTCATCATCTCAGTGTCTGTTTCATGTATTTCAGAGCAGACCGCAACATTGCCCTGGCTTTCCTATCTGGAGTGCATCTAGACAGAATCATTTCTTCATACACAGCTGGAACCTGAAACCAAACAACGCAACCTATGTTGAAATATACCAAACATCCTCAGATACTGGAATTATCTAACACGTATATAAGTCACATGGCAATATGTACAATTAAGGCACCACAAAAGCTGAAGGCCTATTATGCATACAAAATGCAGAGGTCATCTATGATAAAGAACATTATACAAGATTCATATACCTTGTAAAATTTATCAACACGGATAAGGGTTTTCATAAGCGTAGTATATGTAACTACATCTGGTTTCAGGTCCTGCAGTTATAAGGAAGCAAGTGAATTGTAATAAAATGGCAAGATCAATTGTACCGCTTTGTGCAGTAATAATAAATTAGAAACTGTGAAAAACATTAACTTACATTTTCCTTCATGTACTGCAACACAGAAAAGGCCTCAGCATCCCTTCTATCTTCTCCAAATGCATTGATTAATGAATTGAGAGCTAAGAGACTGGGTTTTAAGCCATCTGCTCTCATGACCCTAAATGCGTTCAGTGCTTGCTCAGACAAACCCTGTCAAACATTCGCATGGAAGATCAAAAAAATGTTCAACCATCACACTCATGATAAGACTATCCAATTCATTATCGGAGATCCAAATAGAAAGATAAAACAGTAGTTTGAATTGAAGTAATGAGAAAAGCTTTCTAGTTGGAAATTAAACAGCATATCTAAAGCTTCAGCAGTCCAAATATAAGTAAATAAATAGACAAACACACACACACACACATAAGTAAATAAATAGACAAACACACACGCACACACGCACAACATGGTATAGTCAGCAATATTTTTGAACTCCGTCACTGGCGTGCACGCACACACACACACACACACAGAGTATAGTCAGCAATATTTTTGAACTCCGTCACTGGTAGTACTGAGAACAGGTTTGAGATTGTGTCAAAGCTAAAAACTGAGGGAGTGCAACTTTCTCAAATGGTAGGAGAATCCACTTGAAGCTGGTCATGTCATTACGAATAGATATGACACTGAATAAAAAATTTGCCATATGATGGTTTCAATTCACAGAATAATGTTTTTTCAGAAAGAAAAAAAGAGTAAGAAGAAAGATCAATTGTATAATGCAAGGGAAAAGTGAAGGTAAAATCACCTAAGATAAGATGGTTATATGCTTAACATATTCCAGTATTCTACAATCTAAGAAATGCCAGCAAGTGTAATGTAACTCAAGTGAGGAGGGTGCATAATAAAATTACATAAGGTGTGTGAGAAGTGTTGAGAATACAACTTACTCTTTGTGCATAGGCATTAATTAAGGCATTGTACATAGTCGGGGATGGTTTCAAGCCTGCAGACTTCATGACCTCCAAGCACTCTATTGCATCATTAAATCTCCCCGACTTTCCATAAATATCAACTAGGGTGGTATAGGTAACTATGTTGGGCAGTAAACCCTGAGCCTGCATCTTCCCCAACAAGCCCTTCACCTCAACCCATCTCTGCTGCTCCCCAAAGGAATTTATCATGATGTTATAGGTGGTGGCGCAAGGGGCGCACCCACTTTGGTGCATTTCCTCAAATAATTCCTCTGCTCTTTTATGGTGGCCTGACTTGCAATGACAATCTATAAGCGTATTCCAGGTGACAGTGTCGGGTTGAATTCCCTCGGATAGCATCCTTTCAAAGGTAGCCATAACATGATCAAGACAGTTGGACTTTCCAAATGTGTCAATCATGACATTGTAAAAATGCCTGTCGGGTCTTACCCCGCTGCTCTTCATCTCCCTCAATACTTGGAACGACTTTTGCCACTCTCCTCTATCACGGTAGCTCGCTAAGATCCTACTGAAAACATAGGAATTAGGCTGCACATTGCCGGCTTCCATCTCTTTCAGCACAATTCTTGCGCTTTCCCACCTTCCCGCATTCGCATAGGCATCAATGAGCAGGCTGTATGTGTGCTCATCGGGTGAAATGCCGCTCTTCTCCATCTGGGAAACGATGGATTCGGCGTCTTTCAATTGAGCAGCCTTTACATAGCCTTTGAGCAGGGCATTGTAAGCCCTGGTCCTGGGCTGCAATCCTCCTTCTTTCATCTCCTCAAAGATAGCTTCGGCTTCAACCACCCTACCGCAATTCCCCAGGGCGGAGATGAGGGCAACCAGAGTGGCGGTTTTGGGGCTCAAGCCAGTGGCCTGGACCATGGCGAGCAGATGCATAGCCTGCGTGGGCTCACCGGCTTTTGCGAAACCAGCAATGATGTCGTTGTAGAGCTGGCCATCAATCTCAATGCTCTCGGACTCAATCTCCCGGTAGAGCTTGAGCATAATGGGGGAATCAATCTTGTTAGAGCGGGAGAGGGATTGAATGATCAAGCTGTAATTGACGAAGTCGGAGCGATAACCGTCTTGGCGCATGCGGGACATCAAATGGAGGGCCTTCTCGAGGTCGCCGTTGCGGGCACAGGCGCCGATGAGAGCATTGTAGGTGAGCGGTGTTAAGGATTGTCGCTGGGAGAGCAAGAAAGCCTCGTAGAGTTTCTCGGAGCGGCCGAGGGCGTGGATGAGGATGGAGTAGAGGAGTTCGTAGGAGAAGCAGAGGTTGTGCTTTTGGAGCCAGGAAACGACGGCGTAGGCTAGTTGTATGTCGGAGGAGGAGGAGGAGCAGAGAGATTTGAGGAGGGAGTGCCAGAGTGGGGCGGGCACGGCCCGGTACGACTCGGCCAGCTGGAACTCGGCTGGGTCGAGTGAGGTTGGGGAGGAGGCGGAAGATGACATTGGCATTGACTTGGCGGCGAGGAAGGTGAGGAGGGGGCTGAAGTCATAGCGGGAAACGGCAGCTTGGTCGTCGTCAAAAGAGCGCCGTCTTGAGTTTGAGGTTGAGGTTGAGGTTGAGGATGGAATTGGGGGTAGATGGGCTTGGGATGAGTTGGTAACGGCAGCGGACAGAGACCACAAATGGAACATATGGTGGTGGTGGTGGTGGTGGTGACGGATGAGTATTGGAGAAGCCAATTGAAAGGAAGGGAAGCGAGTCGACCCTGGTACTGGTACTGGAACCGGAAGAAGAAGCATGTTTGTTTGTAGATAATATTTGACTGATTGCTTGCTTTACTGAGAGACTATCTAAGATCTGTCTGTCTCTGTGTTAAGCCAGACAACCCCACCCAACTAGCATACTATTTTATCGGTTTCGTTTCTGGTTCTAGCTCTGGCTCTGGCTCTGGGGATAGTTTTAGTGGAGGGAAGGCGAAGAAGAACAATAGCCAGCCAACAAGACATACATGATAGTTAGTAAGTACACTAAACGGAGGAGGGCCTATCCTCTGTTTTCCGGAGCAGGGATCTGCTTTCCCCATATCAAATCCCTCACCTGCCACGTAAGCTTTATAAGATTCCTTTTCGTCCTCGGGCGGGCTTCTTGCGGAACCACTTGAAGAAGTTGGATTTTCCAAAATCTCTCACTCTCGTTATAAAAATGCTTCGCCTTTAAACTTTTTAAACCCTTCCTCACTCCCTCACCCTTGCTTGCATGCTATGCTTGCTGTCCGTCCGGCTTAGGGTTTCTCTGCAACTGCAACAGTGGCTTCGCGAGCTCAATTCAACGAGCCCCCATAAGGCACGCTATTCCTTCAAATCTACGTGTATCCTCCCCAAAGAGAAACTTGAGGTTCTATCTTTCTGTTCTTTTTCTTTTTCAGTTCTTTCTAAATACCACTGCAAGCAAGGCAACTGAACTGGTTTTAAATTTGAGTGTCGTTGCTGCTTCAGATAAGGGTAGGTAGGATCATTGCAATTTGCATTTTCAATTTTAGATTTGAAATTGGATGTTTTGTGTTGATATTAGAGTTATTAGCAGTCTTGCTAGATTTCCCAAGTATATAACTCAATTTATTCTTTAGATATTGAAATTTGAAACCACCTCATGGACATGGAGCCTGCGATCATGTATGGAAATGGCCATTACCCCGCTTATTCTGACACCAAACCAAACTTGTGTTTGAGTTGAGTTGTAGCGTGCTCAATGCTTACAATGCTGATAGATATATCAGCGCTGTTGTTGTTGTTGTGGCTTCAGCAAGCTCTACATCTGAAGAGTCCGACTACATTGACTCATTTGGAAGTCAAATGTCTTTCTGTATCCAACTCTTCTATTATCGGATCATAATTATTATATTTGGATTCAGGTTGAGTCTGATGATGATGATCACGACGAGCCATGGCCTCCCAAGCTTTGAGAAAGACACTGAGCGAAGCCCCATCCAGGAGCATGTGTGAAACGGTGGCAGCAATGGCTAATCCACCACATGCAAAGACGGTGACCTTGTATCATAGCACCTGGAGTGGGAGCATCCCATGTTCTTGGAGATGGAAGAAATTGAGAAATTTTGAGATTAATGAGAGATTAGGACTGTTGAAAAAGTGATTCAAACGGGAGTCAGTGTGGGCCTCAACATAGTAACCTCCTTGGTCGTTGCAATCTATGGAAAAGTGGCCTTTGATCCTTCCTGCAAGAGGGTAAAAATGGGTTAAAGTTTTAGACACAGACTGCTTTAGCAGCAGCAGCAGTTGCCATCTTTTACCATCCCCCATCTCCTGTATAGGATTGGGATTGAGATAATGGAGGAGCATTGGGAGATAGACGAGAGGAGCGAACCGGTCCAAGAGAGACAGGTTGTATATATAGAATGGCATCTAACTGCTACTAAGCGCTGATGCTCGCTCTACCGTAGTTTCATGTACCCGCAAAATCTTTATTAACTTTACCCCTTGCAGTCATAATGTCATAATCTCAGATTAAACTAACTGTCACATTAATGCAATTTTTTATTCATCATCAGTATGGTTAAATATATATATATATATATATATATATATATATATATGGCTTATAGCATTAAAAAAAAAACAGAATTTATGGTTAAAAATAAATAGGACAAAAGTCTTAAGTTCATTGCTAGAAAAAATTGTTGTTTGGGGCTTATGCTAAAATTCCCCAGCCCTTCACCTAATTGGTGTCTGGTCATCTCTCTATTGAACCCTCATCTACTTCCAGATTCTAAAGGCACACTCACAGACTAAGTAGTAGATCTAGTATCACCATTAGCCAGGCCTTGTGGAGCCTTGTGATTCATGAACTTGTGCCACTATATTGAAAGTTGTAATTCCACGAGGAGTAATCGTAATTAAACATTTTCTCCTGGAGGCAATTCTGCGAGCTTTGGAGGAGTCCCAAGTACTCGTTCCATATCAAAACGAACTTCAATATTGCGAATGCTGTATCCCACAACCATCAGCCAATACAGCAGCTTGGCAAGTTCCGGTGCACCTGTCTCTGTTACACTTGTCTGTAGCAACAATTCAACAAGCTTAGGTTATATTCAATTTAAGTGATTCAAGACAACTTAACTTGATTAGAACAAACATCACTGATTTTGAGAAGAAATAATATGAGATGCTCAGCTTCAGTTCATGACATAAATTGACTTCGATCCAGGGTGCACGTAAAACAGTTACTCTAGTTTTCAAGTTATTCCCCTCCAACAGTCCAACCCGCGGCCCCCCACAGTGACTCTATTTCACCTTCTTTTTTCAGTACATAACATTTTATGATATAAAGAAAATTTTGGAAAATACTTCACTGAAACTTCAACCAGAATCTAAATACAGCTCATTGCAAGGGCAAACCTTCATTTGGCCAGGATCTGAAACAGCCAAAAGCCGCTTGATGAATGTATTCATTGCAACCACAACATCGTCTCCAGCACTGCTCGTCAACTCCTACAAATTTGAACACATTTAACCAGAGGTCACAGAGATTTATGGCCCCTTTAATACTAATATACAAGCAATAATAGCTGATTCTCATGACATGAAATAGAGCATAGTTCACATTATTCCACTACCATATCCTGGGGACAATGGCCCAACTGACTAGTAGCAGGTAGGATCTTCCCAATCAGTTTTACCACGAACAATAACAGTAATAATAATAGTGCTCGTCTTGAGATATTCCAACAAAAAGCACCTAGCCTTTAGCCACGAACCTACCCTTCCTCAGCCACCAGCCACGCACCTAGCATCTAGCCAATAAAAAGCAGTTCAGATAAACAGAGGGGAAGTTGTTTACCTTTAAATTTTGGGGCTCAAGAGACTTGAGATACTCCAACAGTTCATTTTGTCCACTCGCAGATTTCCTCCCAACTTGATGATTTAGTTCCTCAATCTCTGCTTCAAGTAACTCAATGTACTTCTTAGCATCTATTCTCTCAGGGCCAGAAACATTATTCCACCTAATAACTTCACCTGACACATGCTTCTGTGTCCCAGGTGCATAATCTGGTGCATCCTGTAAGTCACAGGGTACTAATTAAAGGTTGTACAGACAAACCTCTCGAAAATAAAACAGAAGCATCAAAATGAGTGAGTCAACATAACTAAATGAAAAAAAAAAAAAAAAAGATTTATTGTTTACAGCTTTATGAATTTTCCTTGACAAAAACAGCCTTAATTAGAACCAGTAGCTAAAAGTGCACAGCTTTGAAGATTACATCTCCATTAAGAATCATTGGAATTTCACAAGCTCTGCATTTTACTTAAAGATGTGGTACTTTCCACGTTAGTAAGACAAGGGTCAGATAATTAGGAGTGACATACCCTAATCTCCATGCCATCAGAAAAATACAAAATGACTACATGGTAAAGAAAAGCCTTCCCAAAGCACACAGGTCAGAGAGGTAATGTCTGAAAGTGTAGCCACCACAAGGTTTCTCCTCAGCAAATGGTGATGTAGCAAAAGGTTTCCGCAACCACCCAAAGGATAAGAACGTTCATAAATATAAACTGAAAGATAAAAAGGGAAAAAATATCACCTTTTTATCTTGCACATCAGGAAGAGCAACTGGCTCTAAACCTTGCTGGAGTTCCAACCTGTACTGTGCATTCTGAAACATATATCCAGTCATCATGATACTGTACATGAGTTGTGCAAGATTTTCGGCAACCTGAAATGGAAGTCAACCAATCCCACTGAATATATAAATTGCTTAAACACAACTATTATGAGAACATGCACAAAAGATTTGCATCAGTAAATCAGTCAGCCACCAAATATAGAGAACCCATCAGATCGTATGATACTCATGCTGCTAGTTCTATGAAGAGAAAGAATATTAAAAGCTATATACTTACGGTGGTGACTGTGACTGCAAAAAATTGTGGTGGTAGAGTTCCAATCATGTTTGTGACTGTTTGGCGCATTGCATCAACCACCTACATGAGCAGCCGTGAAAAGTGGTTTGATTTCAGCAGATTAGTCATGGAAATAGAAATCCATAGCCTCTATCTTTGCATTAGTAAGACAGACATTTATTCATAATGGGTTTGTGCCGAAGACGTATAAAATACCTGCTGGGGTGCCCTTTTTACAAAGAGCTCCATGAATTCTGGCTGCACATTTTTGACGTACTCCAAAAGAATTTCTCTCCTGCTCTTTGGCTGTTGAGTTCAAGAAATTTAATCAATCATATGAGTTGGGTTGGCAACAATATATGTGTTTCAACTAGACAATGGGTCTACTTTAGTAAGATTAACAATTGAGAAAAGAGAGAGGGAGGCATCTAGCAGGTCAATTGGGAGAGAGAAAGAAATACCAGAGTGCCGTTGGGAGGCTTGGAATCTCCAGACGCATTGGGACTGTCGCTCTTTGAAGACTCGTAAGCGTGAATTCTCAACCTGCTTCCTCTGTTTTTCGTCTTTATTCGGAAGGTAACCGAAGAAGAACACGACCCAGCCCAAAAATGTACAGAAGAAGAAGCCGACGAAGAAGAAGTAGAAAATTTTGGTAAAAAGAAAGAGGGCTTCACCGTCAACGAATACATGTTAGTTAGCATAGCAGCCTCCACAGAATCCAATAAACTTGGAAAACCCAATACTAAGGGATTTACTAATTCCTTGTTCCCTAATATCCTTGTTGCTGTGCTCTTGCCATCAACACCACCACCACCACACACATACACAGTGGGTGAGGGTGCACAGTGCAGGGGTGGATGAGGAGGGTTTTCACGTTTGCATAAATTGAGAGCGTGTACTACAGTCCATGGAAAGTACAATGCGGCTGCAGTATTAGATGTAGATGATACCTCTGTCCGTCTTTTAAATTTATGGAATTTTTTAAGAAATGTCACTCGAACTTATTACTCAATTTAAATTTGTCACCTTAAATAAAAAATTTGGAAAAATTTCATCTTAATTTTTCAAAATTCATGATTTATCATCTTAGTTTTTCAAAATTCATGATTTGTCATCTCACTTTAACACTATCCAATTTTCCATCCATTTTCAGAGAAAAAAGATACCTCTCTCCCGTTTTCCACCACCCCAACCGCATTTGCCCCCAGCACACATCACACAGGACCCCCCATCCCCTTCTACTCTCTTTGTCTCTCTCTTTCTCTCTGAGCATGTATAAATTTTTTATGGTGTTCACTGAGCATGTCTAAAATTTTCAACAAAAAAAAAAAAAAAAAGAAGGTGGGCTCGGTTTGGGTGGGTTGAGGAAATTTGTGTGTGGAGGGTAGAGAAGAAGGAAGGGGAAGAGTGAAGGGGGAATGGAAGAAGGGGTTGTGAAGAGGTTAGAGTGAACGGATTTCAAGGTGGGTGGGGTTGGGTGGAGCTGCCGGTGGCGCATAGGAGATGGGGGAAGGTGAGAATTTTTTTTTTCAATTTTAATTATTTAAAATATATACAATTTTTTATATAATGATTTTAAGATACCCTTGAAAATGGAAAGACTAAAATGCCCTTTAAAATGGATGGAAAATTAGATGATGTTAAAGTCATATGACAAATCATGGATTTTGAAAAATTAAGCAACATTTCTCTTAAATTTTTCATTAAGGTGACAAATTGAAACTGAGGTATAAATTAAAGTGACATTTGTACAAAAATCCCTAAATTTATTTTAGTTTTCTAAAACAAATATCACTCGTTGCCCTTTTAACATAATTGATAGCATCTACTTAAATAAGTAATTGAACATAGGACATATTTAAGCAATAAAATTGTGAGTTTAAAACTTGCTAATTAAAAATATAAAAAAAGATTTTGACAGAAAAATAAGCCGGGAACTAATTAGAAATAGATAACTGAAAATAAGCCTAAACAATTACCACATACCCGCATGAATTGGGGCAAACGGATGAAACTGATTGAATCAAATCATAATTATCGGTTTGGTTTGGTTGACCTAGAAAAAGTTAAATAGTTTAAAAATCGAACAGACCATATATGATTTGGTTTTGAGTTTTTGTAAATCGGCCTAAACTAAACTGAACCGTTTATGTGTATATTTATTCATTTATATTATATTTTACATTTGTAATACTCTAATTAGGTAATAACTATATATGGATATTTGAATTGAGCTATATTAGTTATTGAAATGTGAAATTTTATGGCATATTGAGCTTTAGGACGGTTTTGTACTCTAGAATGAATTTTTTTTTTTTTGGGTCTGAACCATGAGGTGGTCCTGGATGGGCCCCAACTATGGGTGACACCTTTAAGCCTTAACCACAACCCAGACTAATCCCCACTCACACCGGGTCGGCCCATAAGGGGTAAAATGTTGACCAAAGTGGTGACTCCGTACGAGAGCAGGGATCGAACCCCTGACCTCTCTTAAGGAATGAGAGTGCCGAACCACTCACATCAACCACCTTGGTTTACTCTAGAATGATTTAAGTATGGAGCAAGTTGTGAATTTATTGGTTGTAATTGGGCTAACAATGCTGAAGAAATGCAAAAAGAAAAAGAATTGGGCTTAGGCCCAAACCGGCCAAACCAAACCGTCTTAAATTGGATTGGTTTCATTCGGTTTTCTTCATGACTTTTTTCAAAATCAAACCAAACCAAATCGTTATATTGCAATTGGTTTGGTCGTGGTTTTGAGGTAAAACTAATCCAATCCGAACCGTGCCTACCCCTAGCAACAAAGCTTCAATGAGGTGCACATTCATATTATTTGTTTGGCAATCAAATTAAATGAAATAATGTACTCATAAAAGTAGAGGCGGGTCATTTTTGGTCTCAACCCATAATCCAACTCGATATATAGCGATTTATGATTTCTTGGACTCAAGATCTACTAGGGGTAGGTTCGGTTCGACAACCAAACCAAGAGGCACAAACCGACTACTGAACCAATGGTGGTCGAAATGCTAACAATGGGATCGTTACCACACCGATGACAGCAGTTTGCTAACTGTCGATTGAACTGATGATTTCAGTGTGAGCAGTTCGGCGGCGGAAAAAACTGAGGGGCAGAAGAGATGGTGGCGGCGCTGTAGATTTGGAGGATGACCTTAAGGCCGTTTGGTATCCTACTAAAAAATCATGATTTTTTTTTTAAAACATGAATTTTTAAATACTGATTTTAGGATATAAAAACTTGTTTGGTATTGAACCTTAAACTATTTTTAAGATCTGAAAAAAAATTGAAATTAAAATGAGAAAATCAGAAAACCTAATTCCAAATTGAAATTAACAAAAGAAAAGGAGAGAGAGAGAGAGAGAGAGAGAGAGAGAGAAAGAAAGCACCCATAGATGATGGATGAGAAAGAAAAGGCGACTTTAGGGGCTATAATAGTGTTAGGGTGATATTAGGGTTTTCTAATAAATTTTTTTTTTTTTCATTGTATATGAATGATACTACTAAATATATTAGCAATATGTAATTTGAACAAAGAAGCGTTGTGGTGCAATGGTAAATAGTTGAGTATGTGAGTTGAAGGTTAGGGGTTTGAAACCTATTGTTGATTCAGTTCGATCGGATCGACGGTTTACAAAATCCAAGCTGGGTGCCGAATCGGTTGACGACTGTTTGATTCAGTTTATGTGCCGAAACTAAACATTTTAGAAATAACATCAAATCGGACCATTTGGTTCGATCAATTTTCTAGTTCGGATCAGGTTTTCAATCAAAAATACCAGCCCTAAGATCCACTCATTATTAGGCTAACCCAACTCAACTCAATTCTTTTATAATCGAGTGGCGGTTCGGTTGAATTAACTCAAAATTAAGCTCACTTTTAAGTTTTTATTTGAATGCATAACTCAACTCGTACATACCATCTTATAATTTTTTGAACCTAGGACATGCTTCAAATCCAACCCAACTCAACCTAACCCAAATTCTTTAATAATTAAATTAAACGGTTCGATCGGGTAGACTCAAATCCTTTAATAGATATTTATAAAAATACCCAATCATATACATGTATTTATAAAAATACCCAAGCACTATTTAAACATAGAAACATACCCAAAATGGGTTTTGGGTATGTGTGTAATGATGGGTTTTGGGTATGTTTATAAATGGGTTTTGAGTGTGTGTAATGATGAGTTTTGGGTATGTTTATAAAGTGTTTTGGGTGTTGGGTATTTTTATAATTTCAGCCCCAATTTTGGGTATTTTAGTGAAACTCCCATCATTTAATTACATGTACACACTATTTTGAGCTCAAAACTAAAAACTGGCTGGGTTAAAACAGATTTTAAAATTTTATATTTGGTTGGTTGTTTGTTTGTGTCCCCCGGTGAAGGGAGTATTTGATTTTGATAGGAAAGGAAAGGAAGACACGGCAGCACCAGAGCAGAGCAGAGAAGTAGTAGTAACAGGCTGGCTGCCAACCACAATCACAAGCATTCCTCTCCTCCTCCTCCTCCTCCTCCTCAAGGCCGAAACTCCAAAGCCAAGTCTTGATTTGAGAGACAATGTTGTCTTTGTATTTGTAGCAGCGACAGTCGGTCTGCGGTGCGAGGGAGGGACGGAGGGAGGGCGATTTGTTTCTCCTTGCTCTCTCTGTTTGTGTTTGTGTTTATAGCAGCTCATTCTCTTTCTTTCTTTCTTTCTTTCTTTGTTTGCCTCCCTCGTTCATTTCATTCATCCAAATTCCAAACCCAACGGATTCATTCATACATAACACACAGGAGACTGAACGACTCCAAAATACCGACAACAAAAAGGAAAAAAACGAAATGGCCTTTCATTTTCAACGCCGCCGCCTCCACTACTACCACCGCTTTCGCTTTCTTCTTCCCCTCATTTCCGCCATCTCCGGAACCCTTCTCATCCTCTTCGCTCTTCTATTGGTTCTTGCTCCTTCTCCTTCTCCTCTCGATGTCAATCACCTCCATCAACCACGTCACCAACACTCTTCCTCTTCGGTACGACAGTACAATTTCACAATTAATTTCATTACTTTCTTATCCTAATTGCTTCTATTTTCATCTTTTTCTTTCCAGTTCAATGTTGGCGTGGACGATGATGCGATTGGAGTTCCAGTCTTTCGTGTTCCGGTTAGGTTTTTTCTTTTCTTTTCTTTTTATTTCTTCACTTCGTTATTTCCTCCGGATTTGAGCCTAACAATGTCAGGTTTTGGTTGGATCTGTACGCTTCTCGCTTACTTCTTCAAAATCAGAGCCGTGGAGGGAGATCAGATCGCGATATTTGGACTTCTAGGAATTCAAACTTCTACTATGGATGCAGCAATGCCACCCACAAGTTTCCAAGTGCGTATATTATTCCCCCGTTTTCTTCTTCTTTTATTCCAACTATCTTTCCATTTTAAGTATTACTAAGGTCTAGGGTTTTGTAATTGATTGACAGTGCTGACTGTTTGCCGTTTCTATCATTTTTCTACTGTTATGAATTTGTGTATATGATTCGTAAAATGACAGTTCTGTTTGTGTTCACAATGACACTCGTGTTTTCAATTTGATCCTGAATAGCTGTCTTGTTCATATTTGCAGATGTTGATGAAATTACATCTCCTAATAAGTACTTGGCAATTGCAACCAGTGGAGGTTTGAATCAACAAAGAACTGGGGTAACTTTCCTTACTTTTTCTTTTTTTTCTCAACTGCAGCATTCCAATCATAATTAGTGCATTGATGTTTCGTTCAGCATGTCGGAGAGGATGTTTTATTCCACCTGAACTCTGACAGTTTAACTGATGGCATAAACGAGGGTAAATGGAGTAATTAGGTAGACTAGGAGTTTTCCTTGTGTTAGTTAAGATATTTGATGCTTGGATGTATGCATTTCTAACCATTTTATTCCGTTGTATTTGTGAGAACTCTGGAGACACAA